CTGGTTCATCCTAATGCATGGAGAAAATATGTGCCTTCCATATACAAGGAGCAGAACTTGAAGAGACTAAGGCTTAGTCACTTCTGCTGCTTCTCTTGAGATGGAAGAGGGTGGGCCTCCTGAGACAATGAGGATTCCAGCCTATTTATTAAAAGCTTCATCTCCCAAACATCAAAAGCAGCTCTATTGTTTAGATAGGTACGGAATAATTGAACACTCAAACATGGTACCCTCCCTGCTGGAAAGTCATGAGTTTCTTTTAAAATAAATATTCTAGCCTTAGGAGGTGATTAAACATATGGTTTTATAAACAATTCCAGACCCAGATTCTGATTTTCCATGGAATTATTCTTTTTATGCTGTTATAATTCTGTGGGCTTTAATTAATTTACACTTACATAAAACTGGAATAGTAGTTGTGAATCATCCCCTAAATGCATAGATTTAATAAGAACGAATGAATATATGTTAGTGTTGTAACTCTGAGAAAAGGCTTGACCTCTGCTATTTTTTCCATCTCTGCTTAAGTGGAGATTGTATAAATTGCAGGTTCTTCTAAACTAAGTGGAAGGGTGGTTATACGGGCAACAGGAGCCTAGTATGTGTACACAATGTGTAATGCCTAATGTATACAGTACCTTAGTCACTGACTTGAGATTAAATGTTACCACAATAAAACTTTGGTTTTAAAAGAGTCATTTTCACATTTTCAACTTCAGGGGTTTGCCTCAATTTGTCTGGCCCAAATTTCTCATCCCCATACAGTTGTGTTGTGCCCAAGATTTGGATGTATAAGTGCTACATCACATGGATGGGATTTTGCAACGTGTTCCCCCTGGAACATTTCACTAGAAGCCGAATTAGACCAAAATAAAGAGCTTTTGAAAATACTAAACTTAAGTGTATTGCTTACAAAATACTTTATAATCATATGGGATGAGAAGCATTATGCTGTATTGTGAGCTGTTTTTCTCTCTTGTTATAAGAATGATGATGATAATATGATCTTGGCTATTATCAGAGGTAGCCCATATGGCTATACTCTATGCATATATACGCTGCCTCTCATAGTGGCCATTATCATATAGCATCCCTCATTCTTATAACAGAGAAGAACACATATATACATATATACATATTTTATGTGCGCATGTGCATGCATGCACACACACACACACTACATAAATAAATAAAAGGTTGAATTTGTTTGGTGCTACTGTGGTGTTTTTTAACTTTATTTATTAACAAATCCAACTTATCAGATAACAAATTTAGCATTTAAAGATGCATCTAAACCCCTAAAACAGCATTCTCAACCTGTGGGTCATGACCCAAAAGTGGGTCACCAGCATGTATAAAAGTGTTGCAAACAAACTTTAAAACTGGATTAACAAACTTTAATAAATGAATTCTCCTTTAAAGGAAAAAAACATGGAAAAGAATGGCTTTTCCATTGTAGGCTGGCAGAGTTCCAGCCTGCAAGGGGCTGCTTGGGGCCCCCCATGCCCCACCCACTGGTAAGCTGGGGCCTGGGAACAGCAGGTCAGGAGTGAGGGGCACTGGGTTGGGATTGGCTATCAATGTTTACAAATGGGTCCTGGTACAAAAAAAGATTGAGAACCACTGCCCTAAAATATACAGGAAGGTGGATATCTATCTTCCATCAACAGTGCTCCCTTAACCCAATTAAATGTCCACAGGAGTCTCATGTTCTTTTCTTCTCTTCCTTTCAGTCTCTGACAGTTTATTTATCTTTCAATTAATGTTAAGCTTTTCTTTTTTTTTTCATTTCTGTATTTGCACTTCCTGCATTTTCTTAAGAGCTCTGCATAATCCAAATCTTACTGTCTTCTACTGTCTTTGGTTTTAAATTTTGTATTTATTCCAAATTTGTACCCGTTGTTAGCTCATAGAACTGGCAGTCTCCAGTGTGGTGGTGTTTATGTATCAATACAGGTGAGTTTAGGTGTTCCATTAGTGCAGAGTATAATTATGTATTCATACATTTGTTAGAAAGTAAACTTACACTCTTCTTGAGCATCAATACCTCTTTGTTCGAGTAAATCTTCTTCCAGCATCAGTCTAATTCCCTGGACTTAACAGAACTACAGCATCATACCAATATAGGATCCAGTACTAACCATCAGTCTAGTGATGATATGCAGAACCTTTCCATAAATTCACTGAGTTAAAGAGCAGAAGGGACCATTAGAACATCTGGTCTGACCTCCTGTATATCATACTTCATTACATTTCACTCTTTATTTGCTCTGCTGAGCCCAATAACTTGCATTTTACTAAAGCGTAAATCATACAGAAAGGCAAGGTTCTTTGGGTAAATGTTATATCTTTTATTAGACCAACTAAATAGTTGGGAAAAATTGTTCCTTGCAAGCTTTCAGGCTCAAACACCCCTCCTTCTTCAGGCATAGGGAGAGTCCGCTGGTGTTATGTGTTCTCCATGGTGGAAAAGAAGCCAATATACCATATGGAGAACACACAACGCCAGCAGACTCTCCCTATGCCTGAAGAAGGGTGTTTGAGACTGAAAGCTTTCAAAGAACAATTTTTCTAACTATTTAGTTGGCCTAATAAAGATATCACATTTACCCGAAGAATGTTGTCTGCCTATGTCTTTAGACCAACACCGCTACAACAGACAACCCTATATCATACAGAAAGGCATCTATCTACACTTGGGTAGGGGTTTGTGATCTAGATACAGGGATGTCTTCCTTGATGAGTACATGCCAATAAATACATGGGATGAGAGAACTCCATGAACTTGTATTTGTTTTGTCGTTTACATTAGTTTAGTAGCTGGTTTATGTGGAAAGGATATTATTTTTCTGTGATTCTTAAAGTGCTGCATGTGATACAAAGGAGCCTTTTAATTTTTTATGCATTCTTTGGGCCTGACCTCTATTAGTGTGGATCAGTTTGGCACTTTGAAGTCAGTGGAGTGCAACTGAAGTCAATGGAGCTAGGCTGATGCACACCAGGGGCAGAGCAGGTTCCTTACCCATGCTTTTAAGGCATTTTACTCGTGGAGGGAAATATTGCTTTCACAAGCTAGTAAGAGAAATTACTCGAAAATGAAGCTTGTTAAAAGAAATCGTTCCGTTTTTGTGTTTGACTTTTTATGAGGGTGAATAATTATGGGTGGAAAGTCATCTTTGATGTCAGGTGCCTGTGGGTCCAAAGACAACAGCTGAGCCCACATAATGTTATGGGTGTAGAAAAGGAGGGTGCTGTGAGGGCTGGGTTAAACTGCAGCTTGTAATAGTTAGCTTTTCAACATTGTTTTCTTTAGTGTGGTTTCAAAATATGCAGGAGTGCACAACACAGTCAGTCTCCATTCCTTTGAGGCAGCCAACGAGTGCAGAAGCAGCTTGGGAACGAGGGGTGTCCAGAGTTAGCTTTAGATCCTTTTTGTTTCTCCACTCCTGGCTGTTTTACTTCAGGCTGTGCCCCCTTGAATAAGCTACAGGTTTCCAAATTAGGATGTTCTAAATGATGTTGGATGCCAGTGATCAAAGGTAGCTACCACTGCAGCTGCAGATTGGCAAGGCACAGGGAGATTGTACCTCTTTGCCCAATCAGGTCCCCTTTGCCAGCTCCAGGGAGGCATATGTAGCACAGGAATTTTTACATAAACACTCTCACATAAAGGTTTTCCTACACATTGATCCTTCCAAATTTAACTGCATTTGTTGATCAGCAGCCCAAATGCTGGGAAGAATTTGGGCCTATATTTTATTATAGGTCCTGGTCAACGTCCGCTGAAGGCAATGGGAGGATTCCCATTGATGTCAAAAGCCTTACTACTCCTGCAGAGTTGCATGGTCACATGAGTGGTCTTTGTGGCACGAGTGGGACAACTTATCTGAAAGATTTGGGCGTTTAGTGATTTGAAATGGGAAAATGTGACAGACTTTGAGCACAATACACTGAACTGGGTGAGGCTGGGAAGTTTATACATTTTCTTGTGTCTCCTACCAGTGGTTAACTTGTGTTTTAGATAAATGAGTCTGGAAATTGTCTGAGCTTGTCTATGGGCTTTGACTCAGATAGTTAGGAGTGGTTCTGAGCTTGAAGGACTTCACCCAAATTCAGCTAGCTCTGGCTCACTCTGGTGGCTGAATCCCAGCATGGATGAACACTGATGAAGCAATCTTGTATGCATGTACCCTCTGATGGAAGGATCTATGGGAGAAAGAGAAAATACAGTAGATGATGCTCAGCGCTCAGCTAATACTCAACAGGGCATCTCCACTTTGATCCAGCCACCTAGCTTGGGTTTCCTTATTTTCATACAAGCTTAGAGCCTTGAAAATTGTCTTTTGTTACTTGGTAGAACAGAGACATTCACTTAGTCACCTTCACCCTTCTTGATTTGCCTTGCGAGTGACTGTACTAGCTTCAGATGTCAAGGATACTTGACTCACTTTGGCTTGCTATTGCAAAAATTCCAGTAATACTTCTAGAGCTAAGAGTATGCTGGTCCATATGATCATTTGTAGAAGGTTCAGTCCCTCCAACACAAACTTCAGAACCAGGCTCAGAGTAGCGTACAAGACATAGGCTATGTTTTATACTGGACTTTCAGAGGAACAATTCACTGTTACTCTTACATACTTTGAGTAAGTTCCTCTGCTGTTGTAAGGCCTATTGGCGCTGCCATCACAGCTTTCTCTTTTTTCCAGTGCAAGCTGCTTCTTTCTGCTCAATTCTCCAGTGAAACAGCCATATGCGTGTGCTTATAAAATTTATACCTGTTCCCACAATTTGTTATGATGTGATGGTAATAGCATTGTAGCTTCACTGAAGGATAAAATAGGAGGGGCAAGAAATACGTTGGTCTTTATGAAGCTGGACTATGTTTATTATTTCACACAATTCTTCTTAACTTGTTTGGAGCATGTACTCTGTAAATCTTTTTAAACTGATGCTTAGTTAATCCCACGCTTCACTGTTACTCTTTTTTTCTTTTTCTCCAGGCAAAATGGCACCGGCACAATGTCCAGACGTCAGAACACCATTCAGGACCTTTTGCATAATTGTTCGGATTGCCTGATGCGTGCAGAGCTCATAGTACAACCTGTGAGTCCCCTTGTTTTGTGCTTCTTTTGTATGAATATTAATGTTATAGGGAATGGTACACCATCCCTTTACAACATTAACTCAAATTCTGAAATAAAACCCATCTTTTTCTTTTCACATTGATTCCCTTCATATGATTTGTTAGGGCAAGCTTACCTTTCTTCTGTTGGGCTGGAATGACCTTGTGAGATCCTCCATTTTCATTTGCAGTTGAATTTTCAGCAGAGCCATTTGAAAAATTCAGAATATCCAAATTGTCTGGTTAAGGAAAGGGACTTTTCTTTGTCTTGATTGCAGTCAAATTCCACTAGTTCTAATTTTTAGTTTTAGATTAAGGCCGTAGCCAATGCAAGTTGTCATTATTAATAATGGTATTGCCACTATATATTCCCCCAAAATGTATTGTGCGAGACTTTTCTGAGCTGCAGCTGCCATGAACTTGAATCACTCAGAAAAAGCCTGCTGAATCTCTTTTATTTGTTTTTAATGATTGAGAAGGAAGGGCATATGAAACTAAACTAAGGCTTCTTTAAGCTCTGCTTCTCAAACATATTGGGCACGTCCAGATGAGTGTGGACATTTGTTTCCCCAGGGACAAGTAGCAGCCACATACCTTTCTCCCTGGAGAATGCCCATAGCACACACGCTCTGGTGCACAGCAGGTTACCTTGGGTAGGGTAAAGGAGGCTGGGGCCAGCAACTGTGCTGTCCCCAGTATCCTTTTCCGGAGTCCTGAAGATCCCTTGGAGCTGCAGCCATGAAAGGAAGCCTGGCTGGCAGCCAGAGTGTGGCTCCGGCCAGCCAGGTTCTGGTTTTGGGCGGCGCACAGATGGGTCTGCGGTGCCACATGCTGCATGTCCAAGCTTGTCTGAATGCAGCCATTGAGTCCAGTTTTACTTTGAAACTACAGCACTCTTGATCCAGGCTTGGTCCGTGATCTTTCACGGAGTTATTTTGGATTTACAATGAAGGAATTGCATTCAGTCCTGTGAAGAGCAAAGCACCTTGAATTCCCATTGAAGCTTAAAGGGAGTGTAGGGTGCCAAGTATGTCATGAAGCAGTGAGATCTGAGTTAGGTGCATGGCCTTTGCAGTTGCTGTTATTGAAAGGAAATGTTAAGACCTTCTGTGAGCTCTGGGAATGAATGATCTCTGTGGGTCAGCAGTTTGTTTCCTTTCCTAAATTGTTATTCATATGTGCAAGTTTTATGTAAAGGTCTCTTCCAGAGTAAATATTGCTTCTTCTAGTGCATGACACCATATATTTCAGCAACATTAAAACAGGGAAGTCATTGCTTCCAGCTCAGTGTCATGTGTTGTACTGCATTTACTTATATACAAGACAAGGGTTTTTCCCCCAATTGGCACAGGGCCCTGTCTTTATAATCTCATACAGGAAATGTCAGTAAGGACACTGTTTATCATTAAACTGCTGCTGAAAGCAGCATGTGCTCAGTAAGGAAACCAAATATGAAGCTGATTAAATGCAACCAACACTGAGCATGACTATAAAACACCTGACCCATATTGGGCAAATATGCTGATGGGAACCTACCACAAGAATAGGTTAGTCTAGCCCATCTAAGACATATGGTAGTGCCCATTAAGTGCAGTCCCCCTCATTGCTGACTCTTTTTCAAGTCATGGTGAGCCACCACATTGCTCACAGTTCCCCCAGAATCCCTCTGTTGCCTCCTCTCTCAGCCTGTCACATATGATTAATGTGGCCCTGCCTTCCATGAGGCTAAGCCGGACCAGGTTGCCCTGTGCATCATCCGCATACAAATTTTTGGAGCATCCCTGGACTTATGACAAGAACACCTGGTTCTATCCTCAAGTTGGGGATAATTAGCACATGGGTCCTTTGTGGGGGGTATGTGGAGTACACACACATACTGAGCAGTGCTGAGCTGTGGCTTCACCATGGCTTGTAATGCTGTCGATTGGTGGGGCCCAGCCCAATGAACTGTGTGGTAAGTCATGAGACTTTGGCTTTGGACTAATATCATGCATCGTTTGCTGTATGTACAAGTAGGTACCAAAGTGCTGCTTTACGGTGTGTTTATAGAGTCCCTGTGCTAAAACTTGCAGCAGTTTCGAAGAAAGATAACATCAATTCTGGATGAACTAAGTGCATGAGTACTATATGCAATTTGTTAGCCATGCTTAATTAAACAGCCATATTTAATTTCAAGGTTATTGTTTTCAGATGTCCTCCTCACTTCTATGTGCATAGGGAGAACAGTGTCTAACAATAAGGAGAAGGGGAAGGGGGCTGGCAGGGGAAAAAGTTGTGGGGAATCAGAGATCAAATGGCTGCCTGACCCTTCAGATTTTATTTTCTCTGCTGTAGCAGTGGGAAGGAGGCAAAATTCACAACAAACCTCCAATAGTTAGATTCTAAACCTGGAAAATAATAACAAATTTATAAATTTTCCATATATAAAGTATGGTTATTAGGGGGTCGTTTCATAATCAGGGTCATCTTCTATTCAAGTAAGTACATTAATTTTTATTCTTTTGGAACCAAGAAGCAAAGTCTGTCAGGCCCTTCCTCCCTGAGTACTGAAGTAGTACTGGTGTAGATGATCCTGTCTACAGAGGATGTGTGCAGTCTGGCTTTGTGAGGTGGCACAGACAGTAATGCTAGCCTCCGTGCAGTGCCTGGAAGGGACAGAAGTAGGGCTCCCATAGCTTTTCTGCTGCTCCATCCCTGGTCAGGATAGCTGGCTCCATTCAGAGGCAATGCATACTGCATCCTATAGGGAGAGGAGCTGTGACCGTGATTCCCAGCACCCCAGGTGCTCTCTGGTGTGAATCAGGTATAATGTTTAGCAGAGAGCTAAAAAGTACAAGACAACCCTGCCACGTAAGGGCTTTAGCACTTGGCTCCTGGGATAACTTCTCAGCTCTGAAATTGGTGGCTGTTCTGACATTGAGACTTTCAATAGATTGACGGTCATTCTAACTACAGCAAAGTGGGAAATACAATCATTGGGAGCAAATATGGAAGCATTTTTTATTGTGAGAAAAATCCATACTTGGGTACAGTATTTTCTAAGGAAACCTAAAGTTCGTGGACCATTATTTTTTGGAAGGTTTGGGTTTGTACCTACAGTGCTTGCAAGTTACATTAGTGGGAAAATTAAAGTAATAATATTAATAATTATTGTTTTAAAATATGAACAAAGAATTCAGAAATAAAATCAGATTTTAAAATGACCATGATACTTTTTAATCCACATTTATTTCATATTAATTGATCCATTACCAGTTAAAATTGACAGGTCCCTAAATGTGAAATCTGTCATCTTTTCTATGTAGTTACTCCTGGTACAACAGATCTCTGTCTCTCTTACAAAAAAAAGAAGAAAATCATTGAGCTTGGATTTATGCATCACGTGTTTTCATTTTAGGAATTGAAATATGGAGATGGAGTTCAGATTCGAGGAAACCGAGATCTGGAAGAGTGTCTTGCACAAGCTAATGACCAAATGGATATCCTCAGTGGACTGATCCGAGAGCTGAGGGAAATGGGCCAGCCCTGCGATATGTATCAGAAAAGGTGACTGAATGGGGGGACCATACTTCCATCCCACTGCAAACAGAGAACCTTCACATTGTGCCTGTTCAGTGAGTGAGATGGTGCCGATCTCATTCACACAAGAGTGAATCTGGAGTAATACCCCTGACATTAGCAAATTTGCTCTGTGTTTGTTCTGCTGTAACTGAGACCAGAACCTTTCCTTGTGGTACAGACTCTTTGGCCTGAAAAACTTAGCACTCTTTTATTCCTCCTTTTTTTGTAAGGTATAATACACATTTTGCATGTTGAACTGGGGGGAAGCCAAGCCTCTATGCAGTTGGAAAAGAGAACTTAACATGGGTGTTAAATATGTGGGCATTTCTGCTGTGGAGTTTAACAGAAGTTATTATTTGCCATGCACTTATACATGCCTTACACTTCCTCATGGAAAATACATCTTGCTGCAAAAAAAAAAAAAAAAACCCCACCAAAAAAACCCAGTAGTTATGCCCTGCAGTCTTAAACTTCTCCCAAAGTTTCCTACTTAGAGGTCATCTTGAAATTTTGATCAAGATTCTTCCCAAATCTAAATAGTTGGAGATAGTATGCATGCTTATTGGTTCAGGAGAAGGTATGAATTCCTAAGCTTACCTACTTTCCAAGTATTGGTGTTAGTTAGCTGTTTCCTTTCCCTTTTTCAGGCTGCTTCAGCTTCAAGAGCAAATGCGTGCCCTGTTGAAAGCCATAAGTGTTCCCCGCACACGGAGGGCCAGCTCCAAGGGCGGTGGCTGCTTTTCCTCTCAGAGTGGCTCAGGCTGGGATGAGTACACTAGACATGTTACCAGTGACTGCTTGAACTGGATGAGACAGCAGAAGGTAATCCTGTCCCACACATTGATAGTATATTAGAAAATGATGCAACACTGAATCTTGCCTCCCACCCTGCAGCATTTTAGGGGCCATTAGGACTTTTTTTAAAGCTTGAGGCAATATCAAATTGTCTCTACCTTCCTTTTCTTTATTTTTTTTTATTGAAATGTATTATAAATGTAGTGTAAAAATGTTTTTTTGAATGAATGAAGGGCTGAATTCTGTTTTCAGAATCACCAATGTAATGGTACCAGCAAGAGCCCTATTTGCAGACAGAATAAAATATGGATGCCAGATTGGATAACAAAAGTTGACAGGAAGAAATAATGGTCAGCATGCCCTTATCGGAGATGAATGTTCAGTATTTCCTTCCTTCTGTCCTTCCTTATATATCCTTTATGCTTCCTATGCAATGATTTTACCTTTGGCTGGAACACTATCACACTTATTCATGCCGTGTAGGGCAGTGCTGCTCTGCTCTTGCTCCCTCCTAGCTAGCCATTTCCCTGCTGCACAGCAGGCTACCTCCTAGCTAGCCATTTCCCTGCTGCACAGTGCTCATGATGATTAGTCCTGCTGAGAGCCCTGGAGGCAGCACTGCTTCTGGTTTGGGAGGTAGCCTGTGTGGATCAGTGCTGTGTATTGCCAGGGTGGGGGCAGTTGCCTGGTATGGGGAATGTGCGGTGTGGACCTGGCTTAGTTATCTTTATCATGGCTGGAGAAGGAAAATAGACTTGTTTGCAATGGGATGACGTTTTAAAAGTGGCTGCTTAAATAGCTCTAGCAAAACTTCCATGTGCACCTGCTGCATATGCAAAAGTCCCATTTGCCTTTTCACACCAGGGAGCTATGTGGACAAGTGACTGAAGACACCCGTTACAAAATCCAGTCCTTTCGTTTGGTGCTGTTGAAGTGATATGCCTGTGTTTGTGATATAGCAGTTCCAGCCAAGTGCAGCCTTACAGAGCTAGTAGAGGAGTGTGAAACATAATTGTAGTTGGAATCTGCACCAGCTGTGCCTCAAAACTTGGATTTCTCTCTCTCATTATTTTTTCCAAACAAGTGACTTATTTATTCTGTGGTTACAATGCTCCAGTCAAGGGCATCCAGGTAGCATGCTGTGTTGACCAGATGGCTTGTATGCAAACCACATGAGAAAGGGAGAGAGATCTTTTCACTCTCCCTGTGCTCTTGCATGTTAGTACCAACCATGGTTGAGTCTTTGGGGCAGTGCTATAGCTCTTGCACAGAGGTACACCATAGGGGAGGATACAGAAGTGGAGATGCACCACTTTTGTAGCAGCCTCTGGAGGTATTGTGGCTTTGCAGGCTAGGAACTGTCAAGATTTCTCCAGACACACTGTGGCGAGGGAACCTGTGTAACCATTGTTACACTTTGGGAGCTTCCCCAGGGCAGATTGCCAGCTACAAACCAGTGTGAAGGGCCACAGTTGCATTCCTTCCATCAAAAGTAATACACAACACCTCCCCCTTCCCAGCTCCCCATTCAGACACATCTCTACCTGGAGAACATAAGTAAAAATGTTAGCAAAAGAACTCTGCTCTCGTAGCTTCCCTGCCAAAATGTTACTGCTTCATCGTTTGGCTTTTCTGAGAGTTCACATTTGTTTTGAACCCTCTTCCTTGTCTCCTTTGCCCTACTATTTGTATTTCACTCCCCTGGCATCCGGACTCCAGATAGTGAGCCCAGATAGAGGGTCAATGTTTTCCTTAGTGATGTAGCAATACACAGGAAATCATTCACAGCTATCTGCTAGAATTTTGTTTCTTCTTTCATGGTGGTTTGCTGAAAGGAAAGGCAGATGCTGAGTCCTGATCAGGTTACCATGGTGTACAGTGGGACAGCGCACGGGAAGCCAACCACCCCCTTGTTTACATGTTGGCCGTCATCCAAGGTTGCCCTTGTTTCAAAGGCTTTGGCAGATCTTTAGCTGAAATGAGAAGGGTCAAAGTCCTGTGTAATTCTTAGATGGCTGACTGCATAAAATGGCTTCACTTGTTGGAGTCTGGCCAGCTTCACCTAAGCGAAGGTGTGGCTCAGGCTTTATTATACCCGCTGAATCACAAAGATTTTGCACCAGATTGGGAATTGCCAGGTTGAATCTTGAAACACAGGTTTCATTTTTACACATGCACAAACATACAAAGATTAATTTAGTTCTGACTTTGCATTTTGCAACCTGGTAATCAGCCTCTGTATAGTTCATTTAACGATGGATCCTGTTTGAAAAAAGTAAAACAAAGGAGGATGATCATGTGACTTAAAAGTCAGTGAATGTTCTGATACTTGCAAAATACATGAATGTTGTTCTAAATAAAATAGTGCATGCTCTGTCCTTTGATAGATCTATGCTGCCTGTAATGAGGGGTTTCACAAATATAACTGAGTGTAATGGAACCGTAATATGTGCAACCTAGAGCAGTGCTGGCTGTATGTTTTCACAAAACTGCATTAATCTCACTAGGACTGAATGCTGTTCACCCGTGCAATTTCAATAGTGCCACTAAGGTTATGCAGGGTAATATAATGGCCTAGAGATGTTAAAGAGGAAATACACTTTCCAGTGTGATTTACGTGGTCTAGTTTTAAATAGGTCAAGCAATGGCTTTGTTTTCTTTTATTTTGGGAGCTATTATATAAGCTAAATAGATTTTAGTTTTAGGAAACGTTATGTCATTTTTATGAACTTCCTTCTGACTTAGTCAAATTTCCTTTGGTGCGTCTCCTGTTTAAGGCAATGTTACTACAAGGGTGAGACAAATACTTTCCCTTTCTACTTAGGCTCAGATGGAGTTAGTGACATGGGGTTTTGATGCAGCTTCCATCGAGCAACAAATTGCTGACCACAGGAGATTTCACAATGCCATTGGAGACTACCGCTGGCACCTGGACAAAGTGAAAACTGATCTGGTAAGAAACTATCTTCTCATTTTTTTTAGATCATGTACTCAAAGTCCATATAGGCAGCTACTTAGTGTTACTAGTGCAGTGAGGATAGATAAGTGGCTTCTGTTCAAAAGGGCTTGTTGTTACAAGGACAACAGTTTTAGACCCTGATTCTTATTATCCCCCGATCCTTTTTTTTTCACCCTAAGTATTTTTATAAAAATAATTATATTTAGCACTTACGTGGAACTCTGAAAGTATGCAAACATAAACAAATTAATCCTTGCAACATTTCAAGGCGATAGGTAAGGATTATTATTCTTACTTTATTAGCCAGGGATAGATTGGACCTTCAGAATACAGCCTTGAGCAAGAGTTTGTGTGAAAATGTTTCCTATCTGAGGAGCAGACAAGAGAGGTATCTTGTTATTTCTGAGGTATCTCTCAGACTTCTGCTATTCCCTGCTAGCTCTAAGGTCAAGGGTGTGGAAACCTTATAGAGCGCCCTTGAAAAGGTTGCATCCTTCCATGTATGTGTGTGTGAAGGAGATTTCTATCCTTCTTTCCTCCAGTTGTTCATATGGTGGAGTATCTGGAGAGCAGAGGATGTGCTTTGCACGAGCCCAGGACCCGTCTTATATATATGGGTCTTACTTAACCAAGAAGAAGGGGGTGGTGGCACCTACTCCTTTTTTAGTCTTTTTCAAGGACAAGTAAGAAAGAGCACAATCTAGCCCTCTGATTCACCAAAGGCTGCCATGGGAGTTGGTCACAGAGCCAGGGTTAGAACCCAGAACTTCAACTCCCAGTGTTCAAACTGCTAGACACTGCCGCCTTTCAGTCTTCAAAGCTATTTCTAGAACCAGTAAGTTCCTGCAGTCACTCAGGAGAATGGCACAAGAGATGCTATTTCAGGAGCAGTTCTGTGCTTTGCAGATGTGGACCCCCTAGTTTAGTCTGCATCTCTGAGGCCTGCACTGGCTGTCCTGGTGCTCCCTTGTGGTGATCTCATGCAGTTCCCCCTCCATAAACCTTTGCCAAATTACACACAGCCTGGACCTATGGTAACAGTCATTTCCTTCCCTGTGAAGAGAATGCCAGCAAACAAGCAATTAAACTGCGAAATTATGTTACCCATCCATGATGTGGGATATGAGTTCATCCCATGCTCGTATCCATCCATTTTAGGATAGATCTTGTCTAAAGCACTTGCCCCCTAATATTTAAATATGCTAAATGTGCCAAGTTTTCTCATCTCTGTTTTGTCAAATTAAAGGCACACTCAATAATTTTTGTCCTTGTTTCAGCGTGAAAAGGCTGCAATTCATCAGATGGAGGAAGAATTTGAATGCCTGCTGGTAAGCACAAGACTTGTTTACATCCATCTCCTTTGTAACATGGGCTGTATGGTTGTGTGCAAGTGTTCATTCAAGCACTCAAACCCCAATAGATTAGCCCACCAGCCTCATCTGATGTGGTAGAGGTTTCCACTGCATCAACCATTTCTTACATGGTTGAAGTGCTGTGAATGCCTGTTCACACAGCATTTCAGCTGGTGGAACTACGATTGCACTGGTTGAAATGTGATGTTAGTATGCACCTTATCTGTGTACATGTAATCTAGACTTCTCAGTCAAGGACATTTTAGATTCCAGTGGGATGATGACTGCATATATTACCAAGTTCATCTTACTATAGTCTGTTTTCACTTTTTATACCCTGCAGTGCTCAGTTTGAGTTAAGTTTGAGCCAGAACCTTAGCTAGCATAAATCAGGCATAGCTTCATCTCAGTTGAGGGTGAATCTCTGTTTCCATAGTTGATATAAATCAAGGAATTCAGCTAAGACTAAACTTAAAGGAAGTCTAAAAATCTGCAAACAGAGAGTGAGAACCAAATTCTTCCCTTGGCTATGCACATCCTGTGGATTCAGTTTTTATTTACACTTCAGTGAGATCTTTAGGCAACACATACGGATTTTAGCCTTTTGGATGACTGCAAGTGGCTGGGCTGTGTGTCCACATTTGGGACAGAAGGAATCTTTTCTCTTATAGGATCTGTGGAGAAATAGTCTACCATCCATTGCCTGTCTCTTTGGAGTTCTAGGGGCCCCTGTTGATTGCAGCTGTGCCACATGCCTTGATAGGGATCCCATACATAGGATTCAAGCATTCTGCCTTCAGATTAATAGCTTGTTTTAATGTACCAAGTATAAAACAAACCCCTGCATAGGGGAGAGGCATAAACCTTATGCACTGCATAAATCAGGGGCAGGCAAAATATGGCCTGCGGACTGGATCCAGCTTTATCTGTCCCAGCAGCCTGTCAAAGCTGATAAGAGACAGGGGCAGTAGGACCCAGGGGGAGCCTCAAGAGGACTGAGCAGCCCAGCCCTGCCCACCCCCAGCCAGTTCCCTGGTTCCAGCCACTGCCCTGCTCCAGTACCATGTGGCTGCAGGCTGCATTGCCAGACCGGGGAGTACGGGGGCACACTGTTACATGTGTGTGGGCAGGCAGGGACAGTGTGTATGGGCGTTTGTGTGTATGCAAGCAGGGACGGAGTGTGTGTGTGTGTGTGTGTGTACTCATAGGCTGAGTCCCACATGCACACCCCACCATATACATGCACCCACACCCTGCCCGCACTGCCATACACACAGACCCCCCACATCCCCTCACACCCCAGGCACCCAGCCCCCCACAAGCCCCATACCCACCCAAACCCACATATCCACACACACACACCCACATGCTCTCTCACCCCACACACCCACAGCCCGCCACAATATACAAGAGTTAGACTTCTTTTTAAGCTACTGTGCAATCACCTCTATGTACACTACACAAATGCATGTAAATCAGGACAGAAATATTTTTTGAAATCAAATTAATGAATGCTGTAGATGTTTCCTTTTTAGAGTATAATTTGATATTTTTCTGGTTCTGATATGGCAAAACCCCTTGCTGAAAGGAGTGCTTCTGGAGTCAAGGGGAGGGACTTCTGGTGGCAAAGGTCAGGGGTTAGGGGGTGGGACTTCTGGTCACAAGATGGCAACTAGGGGGCGGGGCTACAAATGCAGCCCCACCCCCCAGTTAGCCAAAGCTCAGTAAGCGGCACTCCGCCCGAAATAATTGCCCGCCCCTGACATAAATCCTTATTAAGCCCCGTCTACAGAAGAGTGAATTTAATGTTTTGAAGAGGCAGGCTAGATTTTAGACTGTAACTTACTGACAATGGCTTTAGTTTGTTTAGAGCCCTGTCTCTCTCTTTCTTTATGTATCAAAGCACTTTTAGACTTCTTCATTAAGAAAATCAGTTGTGTCTGTTATACTCTTGGCATATGAATGCCAAGTGGTAATGGTAACATGATACAGGAGGGCATCAGGAGAACTGGCACTTGGCCCCCACCATCCTTCTACTCTCTGCAGCTTGCTTCCTATAAAAACACTTGTTGCTGTAGCACCTGAAGTTCAGAATAGTCTGAACTATAGCAGACTTCTCCCTTTCCAAAGAAGTATACACATTACAGTAGCAAATTTTACTGCTTTTTAGATTGGTAGAATGATCTAAAATAACTTTCCCCTTTCAGAAGTAAATAAATACCCACCTTTAACAGCATGCACCTACGGTCCCCATTCCATGGTTCATTTTCATATATTGAGCTATTCTGGTTCTAGTACATTCAGGGTTGAACCCATTGGCTTCAGAAGCCAATAATTTCTAGACTCTGCTTAATAAATCCAAACACTTTTGTCCATGTTGTTAATTTCCAACAAGCTTTCCTACAGTAATTTTTGCAAGCATAAAAGAAGTTGCACTCTGAGATTCTGAGATTTTGTTTTATTGCTTCTCATGGGAATTCGTTGTAGAAACAATCCTTTGAGAGAATGGATCAACTGCGTCAGTTCCAGAACCTCATCCAGGCCACTAGCAAAGAAATCATGTGGATCAATGACTGTGAGGAAGAGGAGCTTCTCTATGACTGGAGTGACAGGAACACGGATATTGCCAGAAAGCAGGAGGCTTTCTCTGTGAGTTAGCATCATGGACTTTTTGTGGAATATTGTAATGACTGTGCAGCCAGAAGACTGACAATAGGATGGGAATCCCTTCATTTCTTAAGAAAGGGCCTAGAAGAGGCTTCCTAAGCAATAGAGTCCAGTGCTCTGTATTCACAGGCCATTGTTAGCCCCCTTGATCCTCACACATTACCATAGATATTTTCATCTGCTCTGCTTGGGTAGCTCCTATCTCAAGTGTTTAAATCAAGACTGGATACTTTTTGGCAGATGTTCTCTTTGATCAATGAGAAGTTGTAGTCTCTTATAGCCTTAAAATCTCTGTATCTATGGTGCCCTTTTGGAAATAGCTTGATGACTTCAGGCCAGTTCCTTAAGGACTGATAGTCACATATAGGAAAAAAAATGCTATTGCTATTAGTACTTGTTGGCACACCCAGCACAAAGACCAAGGATCAAGAAAGTTGTTTCACACAGAGATTAGACCCTGCTCCACAGCAGCTACACATGCAATAATTTGGGAGCAATTTACTCTCAAGTAAACTACTTGAGAGCAAACTCTCCTGGGCACATGTGCAGAGAAATGGGATCAGATTTGCTACTCATAGCAGCAGACTGCTCCCATTCCCTGTGGCCCTGCAATGGGCCCCTGCAGCAGCCAGGGGATGTTCTAGGTTCTGCAATCACTGGGCCTGCACTGGGAGATCCTTCTCTCTCAGGCCAAGTCCCCTGGTTTTGGGGCCTGCACTGGGAGATCCTAATCTCCCAGCTTGGGCCCCACAACTGTGGAACCCAGGCTGGGGAATCCCAATTGGCTCTACTGTGCAGTAAAGCATCTCATACAGACGTGCCCACTCTCTAACATCAGGAAGTATAGTTGTATCCCTTCAGCTCTAAAAACCTAGCAGCCAGGGGGCATGGCGAAGGAGCTGTCCATACAATTAGGAAGTTTTTCCGCTATCCAATCTCCCTTGCTGCATATTAGCCTCTGACTACTTCTACTATCACTAGTGGACGTAGACTTCCAGTTATATCCTTCTTCTATGTGATAATCTTTTACAAGTTTGTAAAGATAATACAATATGATTGTTAAATGGCTTCTGAGAGTTGTCTCATGTTTTGCTTTGTATGCACAGAAACGCATGAGCCAGCTGGAGGTGAAAGAAAAAGAACTTAACAAGCTGAAGCAAGAAAGTGACCAACTCGTGCTCAGCCAGCATCCTGCTTCTGACAAAATTGAGGTAACTTAAACTGCTTCTGATGCTTCTGATATAACTAGATCCCATAGCTATTTGGCAGGTGACATTCTCAGTGAAGTAGAAGGCCTGTAAACAAAGTCCTATGTGGGAAGGTTGCTTCAGGGAGATCTGTTGAAAAAACTGAAAGTGTAGCATGCATTGAGAAAATTAATATTTCATGTGAAGATGTCTAAGTTCCTGTACTTCCCAGGGATTGACTTCCCTGAGAAATGGCTTGCGGGCAGGTAGGCATCTCATTTTTTGTTCCTTCCCTTGCTTACCTGCTGTGTTTTGAAGGCAGCTACACCTCTTTGAGGATTGACAGTACTATATTTACCCAAATCCAAGAGGACTGTGAATTTATGATGGTGCCCCCCACAATTAGATTCTATACATGGGAAATGTATATATTTGTTATAATTTTCCATGTATAGAATCTAATTACTGGTGGATTATCTTAAATTTGTCCCCACCATCACTGCAGCAGGGAAAGTAATGGCAGGGACCCCTGGCAGGCAGTAGGGATCAGGTGGTAGGGGAAGCAGTAAGGAAGCAGGCAGTGAGTGTAGTAGGGGCAGGCAGTATGGAGGTGGTGGGGGCAGGCAGTGGAAGGGGACAGGCAGGCAGCTAGCCCTCTGCTGTCTGTCTGCTCCTACTTATCCCCCTACCCTTGTGCCTACCTCTCTTTTCAAACTCTGCCCCCTTTCTTCCCCTCTCCTCACTTTCCCTTGCTCTGGCACCAGCAGGGTCTGCCCCTGCTCCAACTGGGGGCATGGAGCACAGCCCCCACCCAGCCCTGTAGCAGTGGTGCGGAGCCAATACAATGCTGCTGTCGGACCAAGCTTCATGCCCCAGGCGTCATGCCCCAGGCTGGAGTGGGGACAGAGCATGCTGGCATTGGAGCAAGGGAAAGTTGGGTGGTCGGGGCAGGGGGAGGGAAAAGCAAAGGACAGAGACCATGGGGATATAGGGGTGGAGGGTGCAAGACTGCAGGGAGACAGAAGCAGCACGGGGGTGGGGAACAGCAGCTGCCTGACCTCTCATCTCATAGTCAATTCCAAGACTAGGGGCTTCCCCCTCCATGTTAAACGGGAGGAAAAAACCTCATCTTGTAATCAAGTAAATACAGTATCTATCAACATTTTCTCCAGGTAAAACTCAGACCATGAGTCTGTACCCTGAGCAAGGATGTATGTTTTCACAGCTTGGAATACATTGTTTTGTCTTACCTGACACAAAGAGATGGCATCAGCTTGAAAAAGAAAACACATTTCTACCTGGAAATGTTATACATGCTTTAGTTACAAGAATATCTAAGATCAGTTGAAAGGAGGTAGTGGGGGAAGTGATTTTTCTCTTTCAGTGTGCTTGTTTTGTGTGTTTGTCAGCATTTTATGCAAAATCAGTATTACCCCTTTATGGTTAATTAGCTGATTAGTTTCTGCCTTGATAAAATATATCAGTAGTGAATAAAAGATTCAGAGTGTACAATTTAAAGAGAGCTACATGAACAAGTAAAAAAAAAAAGTCATATTTTTATTTTTAAAATTGTTGGCAGTTCTCCTTGAAAAATATTTTTACAGTACTAGAGTGGCATTTCACTTTTCCAGTCATTCCCTCCCTCAGTCTATGCATTTTAGGTTTTATGTGCATGAAGCAGAAGTAATCCATGACCTCATTTGTATCTCAGTCAAGGAAACATACAGATAACTCATTCAGGTTGTCCCTCTGAAGCCAATATACTATTTGCCTGAGTCTTGTAGGTGTTTGCCTCAGCAGTTCCTTAATTTATAGTCACTTGAAGGAAAACAAAATGTATTGAAGACTGAAAGTGAGTTGGAGGATTCATGCAGTGAATCGTGTTCTTTTGTTCTTTCTTTATTTTATAGGCATACATGGACACCCTGCAAACTCAATGGAGTTGGATTCTCCAAATCACCAAATGCATTGATGTGCACCTGAAGGAGAACGCAGCCTATTTCCAAGTGAGTTGTGGTTTTGATTAATATTTCTCCTTGCAGTGCAGACACTTTATGGATTGTAATTCCATTGTTTTCACTCTGCATTTTTTTCCAGTAAGAACTGCAGGCTTTGGCCTATGTATTTTTAATTTCATTAATACTTCATAGGAAATCTCTTTTCCTTCATTTCTTAGTTCATTCAGATATATCCATCTTGTCATTAGGTGAATGAAAGCCATGCTTTCTGGGCTAAATCATCAAATTTCATTATGCATAATTTTAGTTTAAATACTGTAGTTCTGAACAGCATGTACTGAGTTCTTTTTATTCATTTTGTTTATGAAAAATATCCATGGTTCCTTAATGGAGTGATTAAAGAGAGTTCTACATAACTTGAAATCACACTCCCTTTTTCCGTAGTTTTTTGAGGAGGCCCAGTCCACTGAATGCTACCTGAAGAACTTGCAGGATTCCATCAGAAAGAAGTTCATCTGTGATAAGAGTATGTCCCTCCAAGCCTTGCTGGAACAGATCAAAGAACTGGAGGTACTGTCACACTTGACTACACACATTTAGGGCCCTGTTTCTACCAGAACCAATAGCACAACTCTCACCACTTTCTGTGAGAGTAGGACTGGTTTCCTGTTCTATCTGCAGTATTCTGCAGTGTACAAAAGAATATTGCCACCTTGGTGGGTCATTCTGCTGATGTCTCACAGACCAGTCAGCACCAGTATTTGGATCTGAATTTTAGCACACTGCTGTATCACAAAGCTTTCAACAAAGTTACCAACAAAGGCCCAAAATGTTTTCAGCAATTGAATAGGCTAGAAAATAAAGAAAACAGATATCAGTTTAATTTAACTACCACAGCAGTCTTTTTTCCTCTAAAAAAAAGATTAAGCTTCATAAATGATCTTCCATGATGTGTTTATATCGTAGTACTCTCCTTGGGAAATCTTTACACTTGCAGGTCTTTTTCAGTTAAAACTTTGTGCTTTAGGAGAATGCGAGGTGACCTAAATAGGTTTTTTCATTACTTGAGATGGAGGATGATGGCATTGTTTCTTTCTCGTTTCATTCTTGTATGGTAGGCTCTTCTGTTTGACCGTATGTCTTTGGTATCTCACTTTAAACAACTCATAGGCCTGGATGCAAAATACAGTAGAATGCCTTAGTAGCTTGAGCTGACGTTATAAATAACTAATTCAATATACAGCATATACAATAGACCAATTACTGAGCCCATTAAAGTCGATGGAAATTTTGCTATGGACTCTAGTGAGATCTTTCTGCATTTCGTTGTCAAGAAACTGCAGTGCTGTGAAATGAATGGGATTTTTTTTCCCAAATAGACTTCTAAAATGTACATTCTCTTTGCAGAATGAACGGGAAAAAATTCTTGAATACAAGAGGCAGGTGCAAGGCCTAGTGAATAAATCTAAGAAGATAGTGCAACTAAAGCCACGCAACCCAGACTACAGGAGCAACAAGACCATTATGCTCAAGGCGCTGTGTGACTACAAACAGGATCTGGTAATATACTCTTTATTGAATAAGTGTTGTATGAAGTAAAACTAAATCTTGAATCTGACAAATGCAATCCATTTCTACCAGCTTCCAAATTAATTTAATTTAAAATAAAAAATACACTTTCTTAAATAATTATAACGGTGCTTTTGTCTTGATTGATCAGAATAAGACACGTGATACTCTTTCTGTTCCCTAATTGGATCAAGTCACAAACTGTTCTAGAGAAGATAGATAGATACATGCAAGCAGAGTTTGCTTGTGGGGTAGAAGACCTCAGGGCTGCTAGAGCTCCATGCAGATATGGCTGGTGTAACTGGCACACATGGTGCCTTTGAGAATTACTGAGATGCATTGAGCTTCCTCGTGCAACCAACTTAAAAGGGAAGTAATTTAAAGTCATAAGTGGTTCCTCCCAAATCAAAACCCACCCATCTCACCCTTAAGGTCTAGCTTAAGATTAGGGAGAATACTTTAATATATAATTATAAACATATAATTTATAATAATTCTCCTGTGCTTCTTGCAGAAAACAGTGCGCAAAGGAGATGAGTGCATATTAAAGGATAACAATGAACGCAGCAAGTGGCTTGTGACTGGCCCAGGAGGAGTGGATATGCTAGTGCCATCTGTCATTCTCATTATTCCCCCCCCAAATCCATTGGCTGTGGATGTTGCTACTAAGTGAGTGACTGAGAAGGTTTGGGGAATTGTGCCTAAGTTTGGGTATAGACTGAAGAGTTTTCTTAAAAATCACCCTCTATAAATTGGGCTTGAGCCTGCATCCTTTAGTCAGGTGCGTGGGTTAAACAGCAAGTCTTTATTTTTTTAGAACTTCACTCCTGAAGGAAACTTGTAATATCCCAGTTCTAAGCCTAAGAATATTGGAGTCATTGGCACTAATACAGGCTAGAAAATGGGTGGCCAACCTGTGGCAGGGCTGTCACAAATGGCACAGACAGCCTGTGTATGTGGCATGTGGCAGATTGGGGAAGGGACTGGCCTGGGAAAACAGTGGCAGATAGGGCAGGAACAGAAAGCAGAGCGGCAAATTAGGCAGGGAGAACAGGGAAAGAAGAAGAAAGCAGAGCAGCAGATTGGGAAGGGAATAGGATTGGCATTTGAGGAAGGTGTGGGGTTCATTTGTGGTTCATCTGCCAAACAGATTGGCTCCTACTGGACTAGAACATGGCTGTTCTAAACAATTTCGAAACTTAGCTTTGTGCAAAGCAGCTGTAGCACTGAAGGATTTTAGCAAATGTTTCTCCTCCTACCTTCTCAGCTGAGGACTTCTGAGAATCTAATTTATCCTTAGGAAAAATGTTTCTTTTCCTTTGGGTTTTATGTCACATTCTTGACATTACCGTAAAGTGACCTGGAAGAGGGATGGAAATGGGGTGATGCCAGCCCAGTTTTAGAGACGTTGACTGGGGTTCCTCACGATTATTGTACTGGTTTAGGGGTAAGAGGCATAGAAATTCTAATCAATTGTGAAATCTTCCCCTCCTCAGAATTGAGCAATATTATGAAGCTATTCTGGCTCTGTGGAACCAGCTCTATATCAACATGAAGAGCCTGGTGTCTTGGCACTATTGCATGATTGACATAGAGAAGATCAGGGCTATGACAATTGCCAAGGTGGGTGTTCATCTGGCTTTTGCTGTGATGGAGCTATGACTTTCAGCCTTTTTGCACAGTTGCATCAGTTTGATAAACTTCTGTACCAAATGCTGCATGCATTGTCTGTTCAGTTATGTGCTCTCTTATGCATGCTGGAGGGGAATTCTAAATATCATTCAGTCACACTCAAGAAGTTTAGAGCAGTTCAAGCCTTATGTAGGGCACAAAGTAGAAGGCAAGAAGGGAATAGTAAGGCACTTGAGTCCAGAACAGTCAGTCATCATGGAACAAGCTCAGAGAACCAATTACTGGAAGCCTGAAGTGCTAGTACTGCCATCTACTGCATCCCTGAGCAGTGGTAACACATGTACCATTGTTTAGAACCAAGGTACAGGTTGTTTCATGGGTGTGTGGGGCAAGGGGCTAGATGGTACCTTCCACTGTTATTTGCTGTTTAAACATAGCATGGATATAATGTAAGGTGAGCTAGAGAAGAAATTTGCCATGTCGTTGCTTCAGTAGCTCCTGCTGTATTAAGTACTGATAGATGCTGAGCTGTGACTAGTGGAACTGTTAAGATGCCAACGACTTTTTTACCTAAAGGGTGAACGTACTATACTTTACCTCCGGCATCTTTTTGTCTTAGGCAGTCAGGCACTTGGGTTTTTTTGTTTTGCGTGGGGCTTTTTTGCAAGTGTGCATCCTGAACTGTTTGAGAGCAGAGCTGGTGATTAACCTGCTCCAGATGTTTCCTTTTTAACCATTTCTGCCTCTCTTGTATCAGCTGAAAACAATGCGTAAAGAAGATTACCAAAAAATAATAACTGACCTGGAGATTCATTACCAAGAGTTCATCAGAAACAGCCAAGGCTCAGAGATGTTTGGTGATGAAGACAAAAGGAAAATCCAGACTCAGTTCACTGATGCCCAGAAACAATATCAAACCCTGATCATACAATTGGTACCCGGGCAGCGCCCATCAAACACAGGTTTGTTGTCAGCTTGTTATTTTATAGGGACCAAATAGTGGGTTTTTTTGTTTAACATGTTTAAGTTCTGTATTCTTCTAGGCCTGGTCTGATGCCCTCACTGAAGTCCAGTGTCAAGAGTTCCATTGACTGTAAACCTTGGGTCAAGCTATTACTGATGCTGAGATCAGAAGTGTATTCAGGCAGCTCTGTGTCCACATGACACCCAGGGGAGGCACCAGCTGCTGTGGTGCCAATCACAGCCACACAATTGGCCACCACTGTGGTCTTGGCTATTTTTGCACCCTTACTCCTCAGAAAGGCTATGTCTGGGGCTGCGGTTCTGGTGTCCTGTCCCCAACACCCCACCTCAGGCTGCTGGCTGAGATCTTTAAAGTCCCCTTAAGATGTTGGTCGTAGTACTTTTGTTTTGCTTTTCCTGAGATGACAAAATTGGATGGGCATCTCTGGGAGCAACTGGCAAGGAAGAATGGCTCAGGGGTAAAGATACCGGCCTGGAATTTGGGAGACCCAGGTTCTCAATGTCCTGCCTTGCCACTGACCTGCCAGGTGACCTTGAGCAAGTTGGAATCATAGAAAATGAGGGTTGGGTTGGACCTCAGGAGTTCATCTAGTCCAACCCCCTGCTCAAAGCAAGACCATCCCCAACTATATCACCCTAGTCAAGGCTTTGTCTAGTTGGGTCTTAAAAACATCCAAGGGTGGAGATTCTACAGCCTCTCTGGGTAACCTGTTCCAGTGCTTTTCTACCCTCCTAGTGAGAGAGTTTTTTCTAATATCTATCCTAAACTTCCTTTGCTGAGGCTTGAGACCATGGCTCCTTGTTCTGTCATCTGCCAGATGACAGAAAAGTTCCTAAAAGTGAGATCCTTTCCCATCTATTAAACACCTAAATGTGATGCTATTCTACTCTACTCAAGTCCTAAAGGAAAAAAAATAATGCAAAATGCAGATAAGTTCATTTTTTTCTCATGGCTTTCTTAAGAAAGTAAGCCCTTGAACATGTTTTCAGGGACTTCATCAGGGTGGACCTGGATCACAGTTAGGCACCTAAATAAACTTGGGTGTCTAATAGGTGTAATCGGATCTGGCCCTTACTCTTCCACTGTGGGACCCAAGGAATAACCATCCTCACTGCAGTCTTCACCAAATTACTTATAATCTGCAGTTTCTCTAAACCCCATGTTTACTCCCCACTGATGTGAATATGGTCATCTCCTACTGAAATAAATGGCAACTCTGTGAGGTTTGCATTGATGGAAATGAGAGTAGAACTTATTCTGCACAGGATATTTTCAGTGTTTAGGAAAAAAGCCCTCATTTTTGCAGTGCTTTTTTTCTTTTCTGGTAGCTGAATTGTCCCATATTTTCCTTAGAGTTACATAAGAACGAATGAAGATGTATATTCTTAATCTTTCAAGGCGAGTGAACTGTTCAAATGAACCTTGCAAGGATTTCTCTGTTGAGGATCCCTTTGACAGATTTTATGTACCAATAATTATTCCTCAATGCATTTTTCAGTGGTATCGACTGAAACTACCCTAGTAGGTAGTGCACCAAACACAGTTGTGGTTGACAGAAACAAGGAACAAGAGAAGCAAGAAGCATGGTTGCTGCTGGAACTCCAGAAGCTTCGTCGACAAATTGAAGCCTGTGAGATCCGAATGATGCAAAGAGGCTCTCTGGTGCTGGATCAAGGGACTGCCCATGATTTTTCAGTCAGAATAAAGGATTTGGAGGTAATTGTAGATGCTTTTCTCAGTGTGAACATTTTCCAACAAACTGTGTGATAGGCATGTCCCAAATCAAATGGGAAACTACATCTTGTTTTTAGCCTGTATATTTGTGAACATAATTGAGGAAAGGATTTTTTTTCAAATAGGAACTGAACATGGGTTGGAACATCTTCCCCCTCCTAGGGGATTTAACAGAGAGAAAAGTCTGATTTTTAGAAGCATTTCACTGAGGCTGCTAATCATTTAGTGTGACTTCCTGTTAAGCTTTATACAAGTGAAAGTAGCATTAACATCCTTATGCACAGGTAATGCTGGTGTAATTTATGCACAAGGTTTATGGGTTGTACTTACCTGCCACTCTGAAGATTTTAGAGTGAAATGGAGTCAGGAAAAGAAAGCGTCTCTTCTGACCATAGCTTTTTGAAACCTGAGTTTGGTCCTTTATATAACGATTAAAATGAAGTAAAATAAACTCTAAAATAAACTGGATTGGATTTTTCTCCAGTGTTGCCTTTAACGAAAGATAACAGTGATATCTATGGCTTCTGAGAGAGGAAATCAGCTTGTTATGTATGAGTGGGCTCTGTCTTTTGCGGATAAAATTCCTCAGGGAAACTGAGACTGCAAAAGCCTCCGGGATAGCAGCAGCCTGGCACCTCTAGTGGATGGGATGGCATCTCTGAGGGTACTCTTTGATGCTTCCTTAGGGAACCTCTGTAGGAACTCTGTGTCCTATTGAGCTGACATCTGTAGTTGTGCAGTGAGGCAGTAATTGACTTATCAGTAGGGTAAAAAAAGTGGAGGCAGTGCTTTAGTCCTCACAGAAATCTGTTAGACCAATGGAATGGCTTGAAGGGACAGATTAATGATACATAGACTGTAGAATATGCCTGTAAAAATAAGCCTTTTTTTTTCTCCTCTATCAGGGAGTACAGAATGATTCACAAATCATTGCTGAAAACCTCAATAAGAGTAAGGATGTCCTGCCTAATTTCAGAGGCTCTGACAAGTATGTCTATTTGCAGTCGGAGATAAATGCCTTGTTTCAAAAGCTGGAAAACATTAATGGCATTTCTGCTGGGTATTTAGACAGGTAAGATGATGAAAACCATCACAATACATTAATAATCACAATACTGTAAATATTTCCTTTTCCTCTAATCCTTTGTTTGGGAATCTGCTGTGGAAGCTCAATAATATAAAATGATGCTATTTTATGCAGAGGCTTCCTCTCTTATAAATATAGAAAATGGGGAAAAGAAATCTTAGCAATCTGTTTTATAACTGTTGTTTTTAACAAGTTTAGCAAGTGTTGTTTAGCAAGTGTTGCAAAACACTTTTGAATGTTCTAAGTCTGGATTCTTATAATGACCCATTATGGAGGAAACCCTTTATCTATGCACCCTACCACATCTGCTTTAAAAGAGAATGTGTATATATTTGAAAACCACTGGTGGAGCTTGGTTTTCTTTCATGTCACAGACATACCCTTTTGACTAATGAGAGAGAGTGTATGAAAAGGAAATAGCATATTTTTTTTCCTGCTTAAATTCATAGGACTGGTAGGGGCCTACTGGCTCATCAGATCCAGTACCCAATTAGATTTACACAGCAGATTCACTTTTGTTCGTGTTGTGTATTGCAGCTTGAATGCACTGAGGTCTCTACTCCAAGTTATTATGCAAACGGAAGATGTGATCAGAGTTTTTGAAATCAGACTCAGTGAAGAGGAAACCATTTCCTTGGATCTTGATAAAGCAGAGGCTTACCGAGCCTGTCTAAAGGTAAGGGGCTTAGTGCCTGTTGCAATGCCATCTTTCTGTGTAAGATAGATCCTTGGCTGGTATAAATCAGGCCAGCTCTGTTGATTTCATTGGAAGTAGGCTGATCTGCACCACATGGCATTATAGTGTTTTGGAAGCTTCCCAGGTATGACCTTTTGTCATCTCAGATGTAAGAAGCTAAATCATACTTTTGTGCTAGCCAGTGGCCTCCTGCTGCAATAGGGTTTATCGCAAATCTTCCAGTAAGAACTGTAAGTACTCCATAATTACAGGATGAGTAGGGATCATCAGCTTTGCTAGCAAATCAAGTTAGATTAAATAATTTTTCACCTGGACATTATGAATATGCATGGACTACACTGTAGCAGTTAGGATATTTATAGATGTTCAAATTATATTTTAGGCTCCTGGGGGCTTTCAGTAAAAAGCCTCTGAGTGGAATATTGCAAACAGAAAACAGACATTGTCATTCCTCATATTCAGTCCCCTACTGTCTGCTTCTTGTGTAACCTTCTACCTAGAGACATCTGAAGAGTATATGGAAATAGATAGATAGACACACCTCAATAAGAAAAGAGTGACAGCCTTTATCAAGAGTGTATTTTGCTTGATTAAGTTACTCTGTTGTTTTTAGCTGGAGGAGGGGACAACTGCTTTGTACTTTGCTATAGTAAGATCTAGTCATAGAACTAATTTACCCACCACTGACATGGCAAGGAGATTCTCTAGCCATTTTACCTTCTTGCAGCTGGAGTATCAGGAATGAGAGGGCATAGTTGGAGCAAATGAGTAGCCAACTGGTGCACCCCTACACCACAGCAATCAACACCTGCAGTTGTAGCTCCTGGGAGCCTGCTGTAGCTGGTGTAAGTTTTGAGCAGTCCTGGGGTGCTTGAAGTTAAGAGACTAGAACAAAGTGAGCTTTACTGTGTGAGACCCTGCATTCGTGTTTTATTTTAAGTCTACAAACAACTAATCTGGATTCGAGAGAGGTGTCTCAGAAATGTAAAGAAAAATAAAATAAAATAAAATAATTGCCAGTCTTTTAAAATAAAGTCTGTACCAAATGTATTTGGCAATTTTGTGGCCTGATACAACAGGGATTCCATATGCAGATAGTTCTTTAGGGTGATTTTCAGGTATATAAATCTTTTTTTTCAGGTACATAAATCTTTAGGGAGATTTTCAGGTATCATGCAGCTCTTAGAGAGGCCACACCACTTTTTTTTAAAACTACTCTGTACAGTTAAAAAAAACCCAGTGATGGTAACTCCAGAAAATGAAAGTTTGCAGCCCTTGCATCAGAGCACTTAATATTACCCCTAACTTTAAGCAAATGCTCAAGTCTCTCTCTCTCCAGCAGTAGTAGGGTTAGAGCAGTGTTACAGCTGTGATAGTCCAGGAAACCTGCAAGAAGCAAGTTTTTTTTGGCAACATCTTTCACGGGACCAATTCTATAGTTGGGAAAGATGTTGGTCAAATTTACAGGCACAGAATGCCCTTCTTAGGTCTGGGGAAGAAACAAGTGCAGCCTAAACTAAATAGTAGATAAAACTTTGCCTGTGTTCAGCAAAATGCTAAGCCGTGCAAAAACTGGAAGCACATGCTGGAGTTCTGTTGACATCAGTAGTCAAATGTTTTGCTGAATCAGAACCTAACGGCTCAGGTCAACTTCTATAACATACTCTGATGCTGTAGGTGAAAATTCAGAAACTGTTATGGAAGTAACCGCCTGTCACTGTGTTCTGTCCTTCAGAAAATGAAAGCAGACCTAAACATGAAAAAGTCATTGTTGAATACCCTGGAATCTGAGATGCAGAAAGCACTGCAGTTCCACTCACAGTCCTGCCAGACCTATGCACTCTATGACTTGGACTTCGGAAAGTTCACTGACAAAGTCACCCAGCTGATAGACCGCTGGCAGAGGATAGACAAACAGATTGATAACAGGTTTGTCCAGATTTCCTAATGATTTTACTTCTACACCCTTCTTGTTTTGAGGTAATCCATCCATGCAACCATCTACTGGCATAACTGGGAATTGTAGTTTTCCACTGCACAGAATTTGGTTTTGTGGTAGTACAAGAAAGAACATACTAAACCTTTATGAATAATTGTAAAGAATAAGCATGGGCATACTTGAAAGGACATTGTCCAAAATGCAGACTTTGACTGGGGCTTAGGGCATGTTTACAGCAACTATTACTGGGAGAGTTGTTGTTTTTAGGCCTTTTTTACATGGCATCAGAACAATTAATTATTAGGATTTAAACATTTCCCTGTCACTGTTTTTCCCCTTGGGTGCTACAACACTGTGATTGCCTGAAGACCAAAAAGTGGTACCATCTGGAAAAATTTTACATCAGTATTTAAAGCGGGAAACTTGGAAGTGATTTGCCTCACTTTTCTTGTTGTTTCTCTATGCAGGTTCGAGGTAGAAATAATGTACATAGACTTGTTGCATCTAATTAAAATTAAAGTAAATAGCGTAAAGATTGAAAGTAAATTTATTTCAGTTGTAATGAACCAGAGTCATATCCTGAAACTCTTACTTCAGACCAGACAGTTCTCATTTGCATTTGTGAGTGTAGATTCTGCTTCTGTTTCTGTAAATTCAGAATAACCTCACTGAAGTCTGAAATCTTGATTCTTATCACAGGTAAAAGTTGATACAGCCCCTAGTGAAATTTTTAGAAACCTCTCCAGTGACTTTGGTGAAATTTTAATTCAGAAGCACATACGGTCTACTCAGAGCCAACTCTAGGGGCGTGTGAGGTCTGGGACAAATCAGCCTGTGTGGGGCCCCCTTAACACTGTGTGGGGCTGCGGTACCCCCACGGTCCTCTCTGCTTCTTCCGCAGTGTGAGGCTGAGCCACCAGCTCCAGGTGGGCCCCACAGCAGGGGCCATGGCCACTCCACCCGGCTCTGCAGGCCCCCAAAGCGTGGGGCCCAGGGCAGTCGCTCCGATTCACCATACACTAGGGACAGCTCTGGGTCTACTTCATGTACAAGTTAGCCTCTAAAAGCCTTATTAGGCAATTAAATAAATGTCCTGATTTTTAGTGTTACTAAGAATTAACACTTTCCTCTGAAAATGAGGCCACTTTATTTGGGTACTTAAATGCTAATTTTGATCTGATTCTTCTTTCAGCAGCTGCTGTAGTTTTATTAATTTTAGTATTGATAAAGCCATTAGAAATATCAGGACAAACTGAAAAAGAAAGCATATTTTAAACTTTCACTGATTGTTTGTTTTGGTTTGGTTTGTTTGTTTTTTCCTTTCCCCAGGTCCTGGGATCTAGAACAACAGGTTAAACAACTGAAAATGTACCGAGATTTATACCAGATTCTGAATAAATGGATCTGTGATGCTAAGCACAGACAAGAATCTATTGAATCTTTGAAATTAGGAGATTGCAACACTATCATGAAATATTTGCATGAGCAGAAGGTATGTGCCACCTTCCTGCTATGTCTTCAGTGAATTGGACTTTAAAATGTTTCAGGAGTGAGAGAATATTGGCGTACCAGTGTTGGCTCCAAACTTATGGCCTGTTTAGAATTAGAAATAACCTTAGGCAAAAAGATGCCTGTAGAAAGGGAGGAAGTGAGGAAATATTATCATTCCCATTATCCAACAGCCCAGCCAAGGATGGAATACAGGCCCTGGGAGGTACATAGTACCTATTGATACCTCTCAGCCATGCCCTTTGAATTCAGTCCAGGGGAATCCAAGTTGATGTAACCAGGGGCAGATCCTAACAGATGCAGTGGAATAGCTGCACCCCTCTTTTGGATTGGCGCACACCACGGGAGCCTCTGAGGCAATTTTTAAAGTCTCTAAAGCAGATGCAAATCTTCCCTCCCTTCCCTTTCCTGCTTAAAAGCAGGCGCCCTTTCCACTCCTCCACCTGCCTTTTTCTGCTGTCCTGTGGTGGGAAGGCACCAGAGCCATTCCTACTAGGGGTGTGCAAAGTGGGCCCTATTCGATTTAGATTTGAGCCAAATCGGGGACAGTGATTTGATTCATTGATTTGGATCATTGTCCCCAATTCAATTTGGCCAAATCCGAATCTGAAGATTTGATACTGATACAGAGAATCAGTGATTCGGACATAGACACAGCTTCAAATGTTTTTTCTACATACCTCGAGACACCAGGCGCAGCTTATGAACGCTGCGATGCTGGGGCCCTTCCACATGCTCGGAGTGTGGGGGGCCCTTCCATATGCTCGACGGCGAACCTGGAAGCGGACCAGAAGTACTTCCAGGTCCACTGGGGAGCACACAGGGGACCCCCCTCAGCTCAGCAATCAGCTGTGGGGAGACCCCAGGTGTCCTCCCCAGACCCAGGAGGCACCAGTTGCCAAGCTGGAAGGGTGCATGGAGGCCCCCCATGTGCTCCCCAGCAGACCTGAAGTGGACTGGGTCTGCTGCCGAGTGTGCTGGGGAGCCCCCTGCACTCCTGTGGGATGCTCTATGTGCCCCAGCATCGCAGCATTCACGAGTCGCGCTGCTACCTGGAGGTATGTAGAAAAAACATTTAAAGCTGTGTCTGTGTCCAAATCTCTCTGAATCGATTCAGAGGGTTCTGATTCGATTTGCAGCGATTAAAGGGTCCTCTGATTCGATTCGGAGATTCAGCCACCAAATCAGGCCAAATTTCTAAGGAATTGAATCGGGGACCAAAGCTTCACACAGCCCTAATTCCTGCCCATTGTGTGGGGGTGCTGGGTTTAACTGGGGATGGGGACAGTGGCAGCAGGGATGAATGGGGGTTTCTCTTCCCCATGGTGTGATCAGGAAGGATGGGGGGGAACTGCTCTTCCTCCACACTCTTGCCACTGTCCCCTCCCCAGCTGAGCCCAGCCCCTGCTCAGCCCAGCTATCTCTAGAGCTTCCCCACTGCTGGGCAGTGGAGAAAGCAGCAGCAGGCAGAGGAGATGGGGAGAAGGGGAAGAAGAGGGGAGGGGGCTTGTCTCTGAGCAGGGAAGGGTGGGGGAATTTTCACTTGCTTTAGAAACTGAAAAAGTTCCTCAGAGGCTCCTGTGGCACATCTGTCCACACTGGTGGCACAAGAGGCTGGGAGCAAGGGGTGCAGCCACTCATGTGGTGCAGGTTGCTGCCTCCATACTCCCTTTGGGAAATCTTGGATCCATCCTGGATGCAACTTACCTGATACAGAACAGGAAGAAAAGCAACTAAAAAAGTTGTAAATGGATTAAAGTCTCAATCAGAATCTAGGGAATGCTAGATTTTGAAACCTCCTTGATCTTTGGAAGTGCCTACCTATGGACTGGATAACAACAGAATAAGGTTTGTAGGGCTAGGGCTTCCCTGGATACATCTGTATTATAGTCCAGTCACCTTTTGGTAGAAGCAACAGGAACCTGCTGCTCTCCTCAGTTAGAGGGGAATCTTAGCAAATGGAAATATAGTGTGTGTTTATCCATTGTTGCTCATTTATTTATTTATTTATTTATTTATTGGCAGAACTTGCATAGTGAAATAACTGGAAAACGGGACAAAGTGGAGGAAGTTCTCAAGCATGCAGATCAGTGCTCAGCTGCAATCAAGGTACTTTTTATGTCATAACTTTTTGCCAAAATGGCTTTTTGTTACAGGAGCCCTATCCTGCCACCTTTTTACGGGCAAAATTCCCATTCCATATTTATTACTGCTGCATGTGTGCAGAAATGACCAAGTGTAAAGCATTTTGGTATACAGAACTTAACGGGAGGAAACTGTGTCCTCTGTTGCTTGCAAATTTAGGCCGAAATCTTCCTTTGAACTCTGTAGCTCCCATTTTCTGCATTTCTGCAGAAGACTTGAACTCATGGTATAGCCAAACCAAATTTTGCTGCTTCTCATATAAAAGGATGGAAGTGGACAACAGACATGGCTCCTGGGTTGCTCAAGGAGGCATAGCTGGGGGCACAGTATGGATCAGGAAGGAACAGCAGTACAGTTGCCACAGTGGGCAAAAAGATGCAGAGTTCAGGTCAGAGCGTTACCTTTTTGTGCAGCTCCTTGTTTCTCCCAGCCCCCTCCCATGTTCCTCAGTAATGACTTTGCTGTGCCTGGCATTTTTATAAACTGATATTAGATGGAAAGAGAGCTAGCACTGTTTCTGAGGAGGTTTCAGGGGAGAGTGCTACATAGAACAATTGCCCCAGTGACTCTTTCCATCTTGCCCTGCTACACTTCCTCAGCCAAGAAGAAACACATACTTTTCTCCTCTGTACAGCACACTCTCTCGCTCTCCTCTCCTGCCCCCAAGCTGTCTTTGTGACACTTGTACTGGTCAGATTCCCTTCCACTGTATAAATAACAGAGCATATAGCTTCTTTCAAGTAATAAACACTGGTTTACTGTTTAGAAAATCCAGATCATGAATTTTCTCAGTAATAGTTAAATTGTGATTTGTTTTTGTTTTGTTTTGTTCCCTGCATTTCACAGGATTATGAACTACAGGTTGCTTCTTATAGCTCAGGATTGGAAACCTTGCTCAATATACCTATCAAAAAGACTATGATTCAGTCTCCCTCAGTGGTCATTCTGCAAGAGGTATCTATTCTTCCCTACATCCCCCAACCCCCCTACCCCTGCCCCCTTACAGAACTCTTTTAAAGTAATTTACTCATATGAGATTTTGAGGTGAAGCCATCTTGCTGAATCCCAGTCACTAGCACTGCTGTAGTTACTGCACAAAAAGCATGTGCCTATTTGGGGTGAAATCACGCCCTCGTTTACTCCGTGGTTACTTCCTTTGGCTTAAGCATGTAAGAGTTTAAATTTCATTGACAGGATATAGGATTTAGGGTCCTAAGTCACTCTTTGAATTGAGGGTTGAAAACTTTCAACAACCTGAAATCATTTGTGACTACATAGCAAATCAGTGAATTGAACCCGGAATGTCACATCACACCTGTTGTGGGGCAGTAGATCTTGAAAAAGAAGGCACACTTGTCAGAAGGGAGCGTTTTTACTCTCTGAAATCTTTGAGGGTTAATGGGAGTTTTGTGAAGGCCTTGAAAAGAGCATGAACTTTGCACTCTCTCAAGAGATGATTTCTGAAATCTGTTTAAATCCTTTAAAAAACCCAGGATACCAGTCTGCTCTTGTACAGTTTTCAGGCATGGCCTGATAATGATGCTTCTTTTTCTTTTCAAGGCTGCAGAAATTCAGGCTCGCTATATAGAACTTCTTACAAGATCGGGGGATTACTACAAATTCTTAAGTGAAATGTTAAAGAGCATGGAGGATTTGAAGGTAATCTGCTTGTTTTACTATCCATTTTACCATTATATTAGCAAAAGTATTAGTGCTCAGAACTTTTCAATTTAGTAAACTGCCGAAAAAGTAAAATTTAAAAAGCACTGTTACTTATATGAATCAGCAAATGAATCCTCACAACGTTCCTGTGAGGTGGGCAAGTAAGGGTTCTCATCCCTCTTTTTATAGATGAGGACGGTAATTTGCCGAGTCAACTTTGAGGTGATTTGAAAGGTGGAGCATATTAGACTTTCTTGCATAGAGGGAGGGATTATGAGGATACTAGATGAGTATAGCCACTCCCATTGGAAAGCAATGGAAGTGCAAGTATGTCAAAATCTGTCCTACTGCAAATAAATCAGGGGGAAAATATAGAAAATGGGGAAAAGAAATCTTAGCAATCTGTTTTATAACTTGTTGTTTTTGCGATGTATTGGATATAATGTTTTACAACAGTTGTCACAGTAAATTTCCTCCATATTTATTTTACAGATGAAAAACACCAAAATAGATGTCCTGGAAGAAGAGCTAAGACTTGCTAGAGATGCAAATTGTGATAATAATAACAAGCATAAGTTTCTGGAACAAAATCTGCAGCAGTACCAATTGGATTGTTCCCAGCTCAAAGCAAAGCTTTTGAGTCTGGAAGAGTTGAAGAGACAAGCTGAGATGGATAGTGGTAATGTTAAGCAAAACCTGGACAAATGCTATGCTCAGATCAAGGATCTCAATGACCGAATCACCCGACTGACTTACGAGATCGAGGATGAGAAAAGGAAAAGGAAATTGCTAGAGGATAGATATGAGCAGCAGAAGAATGACTATGATCAGTTGCAAAAAGCAAGGCAAAATGAGAAAGACAGCCTTGGTTGGCAAAAGATAGAATCTGAGAAGGTCATAAAGGAGAAGGAGTACGAGATAGAAAGGCTAAGGGTTCTTCTCCAGGACGAGGGCACACGGAAGAGGGAATATGAAAATGAGCTGGCTAAGGTAAGGAACCAGTTTAACGAGGAGCTGAGTAATTTAAAGAACAAGTATGAAACTGAAATTACAATTAAGAAGACCACAATTCAACAGATAGCTGCACAGAAAGATGAGGATGCAAAAGGTCTCAGAAGCCAGATGGATAGGCTGGTGAGGGAAAACCGAGACCTGAAAGATGAGATTGTGAGACTCAGTAACAACGTTTTGCAAATCACAGATCAGCGAAGGAAGGCAGAAGAGGAAGCTCTTCAGCAGAAAGCCTGTGGTTCTGAAGTGTCACAGCAAAAGCAGCAGCTGGAGCTGGAGCTGAAACAGATCATTCAGCTGCGCAATGACGATAACTGCCGGTATAAGCAGGCACTGGAAGAGGCTGCCTCAACCATCCAGGACAAAACAAAAGAGTTAGAAAAACTAAAGATTCAGCTGCAAGAAGAGGCTAAGAGCCGATGGGAACTTGAAAAAGAACTGGCTAAGGTAAGGAACAGTTTTGATGAGGAAATTATTAGTTTAAAGAACAAGTACGAGACAGAAATTAATATCACAAAGACCACGATTCATCAGGTTACTTTACAAAAAGACGAGGACACAAATAAGTATCGAGCACAACTTGACAATGTCTCCAGAGAAAATAGGAATCTGTGTGAAGAAATTAGGAGACTGAAAAATACGTTAACTCAAACAACCGAGAACCTTAGAAAAATAGAGGAAAATGCTCACCAGCAGAAAACAGTTGGCTCGGAGCTCTCGCAGAAGAAGCAGCAGCTGGAGATTGAACTAAAGCAGATCATTCAGAGGCACTCTGAAGAGAACCTGCGACACAAGCAATCGCTTGATGATGCTGCAAAAACAATTCAGGACAAAAACAAAGAGATTGACAGACTGAGAAAGTTGTTGGATATGGAGACAAACCAGAAAAAAGAGATGGAGGAGGAAAATAGTCGGTTAAAAAGAGTTCAGTTTGATCTGCAGAAGGCTAATGCTACTTCATCAGAGACCATCAACAAACTGAGGATCCAGGAACAGGAGCTGACACGACTGAAAATTGACTATGAGAGAATTTCACAAGAGAAAAAAGGAAAGGATCAAGAGAGCATGAAATTCCAAAGCACCATGAAAGACTTGCAGCTCCAGAAACAGAAGCTGGAGGATGAACTCAGCAGGCAGAAAAAAAATGCAATGGATGAGTTATCAAAAAGGAAGACATTAGAAGAGGAGTTGGAAAACATGAGGCGGTCTCTCAGAGAGCAGTCAGTTAAAATCACCAGCCTCACACAGCAGATAGAGGAAGTATCCATTGTAAGGCAAAGGAAAGAAGATGACCTTAGGCACCAGAGAGAGGCATTAGATGGCCATGTAAGAGAGAAGCAGAGATACGTGGAGGAAATAAGAAAATATACATCAGAGGTTGAAAATTTACGTCATCAGTTGGTCCAAGAACAAGAACAATTGAGACAGGCTCACCTACGATATGAGCACTTGCAGAGAGCTTCTGAAGACAAAAGCAAAAGTCTGAATGAATGCAAAATAGAAATAGAACGACTTCAGTCTCTGACAGAGAATCTTACTAAGGAACACTTGATGCTAGAAGAAGAGCTGCGAAACTTAAGATTGGAATATGATGAACTACGAAGGGCTAGAAGTGAAGTTGATGATGAAAAGAGTGCTACTCTTATTGAACTAAGGAATCAACTTCAAACAAGCAACACACAAACCCTGGAGCTTCAGGGGATGATTAATGAGTTACAGAAAGAAAGGGAAAAATTGAGACAGGAAATTGAAAAATTCCAAAAGCAAGCTCTAGAGGTATTAAAAAATATTTGATCACAACTTTACTCTTTCTCGGATAATATAATTAACTTAAATAGACATCAATGTAAATTACACCCTTCTATTCAAATTCACCGCGATTCAGATTTGATTTCTTTCTTCTGACCTTTTTTTAAATGTGATGGTAAAATATAAGGCCTTATAGCAGTAGGGGCGATGCAGAAGGGCCAGGGGGCTGTAAAACTGTCTTAATTATTTAGCTGAAGATTCCCCTGCTGGTGTGAGGAATTCTCTAGCCCTCCACCAACTCCACAGTTATCCTTGGGGAAGAGCAAGTAACTGGATTGCCACTGTGTGTTCATGCTGGCTAAAGCGAGCCCTAGAGAGTTAGAGAAGTCCTGAGGCTACGCTAAATGGCACCAGGAACTGATGAGCGGCAAACCCTAGGACTGAGGAGCTGAGAAGTAGCACAGAGCCACCTTTCTCCTCTCTTCTTTGGTAGAATACATCTTGACCTGCAGCTTAGATCTTCTGAAAATTATACTATGAGCCCGTATTTCCTGATTTAGGGACATATGTGATTATGCAGAAAATGAAAAGAAAACCCTACTTTATTCTTCATTCTTCTGCATTGTTGCTTGCTCAAAGGACTGTATATTGCATACAACTGAACACTTAGGAAACCTTACCAGTGATGAGTTCAATCAACATACATTACTTGTAGAGTAGTGCAACAAAGCAAGTTTGCATCTGCTCTGCTTTGTTTTCCAGAAAGTAATTCTTCTGTACAGTATGTATGGACATATTTACTAGTTTTGTGAGTGTGATATAGGGCCAAATTCATAAATTTGGAGTTACAGTAAGACAACTTTACTGCTCTGCTACCCTGTCAACTGTTTACACATAAGTCTCACACATGGAATACATTGGTACCTGTGTACGGTGTTTCACTATAGATGCAGAGATATAAATTTGGGCCAGGCTCTCAGCCCTTTCTCTGAGAGCTGCTCTGGTTGATCAGGTACTCATTTACAGTTAGTTCCTGTTGACTTTAGAGTCAAAAGTGGCCAGGTGCATCCTAGCCGTATCACTTCTGGCTACAGAAACTGGTATGCTCTAATTGTACTGCCAGGTGAGCCAAGGAGGCCAAAAAGGCCTTTGACCTTTTGATATTACATTTTATGCATATCTGAATTTCTAACTATGACAGACACAACAATAATCTACTACTAATAATCTATAGCTAACCTAGAAAAAATCCATTCATGAGCTTTTTAGCTTCACATTCATATTCTTTAAAAAGATATATTTTACTATTGTTTCTCCAATTTTCCTACCTTTCCCCATCATCTCCAGTCCATTCATTTAATCTGTTTTTAGGTGTCCCCTCCCCCATGTTTTGTTTGTTTTGTTTTTGGTTTCATTTTGTTTTACTTTTTAAACTCCTAATGTTGATTTTCGTTTTCTTTAACAAGAGTATTTGTGTGTGTGGGTGTGTACACACACATGCCACATGGAAACATTAAATGAATTTAAATGTAAAGGAACACAAATATAAATGTTTGGAGTTTAAAATAGCAAAAATGTTAACAGGGAAGGGAAAGACAAGTCTATTGCTTAAATCCATTCGTGGCTGATTCTCTGATGCTGTAAACAGACCAGCTCAATGGAGATATATTCCCTTATACCCCCGAAGTATCCAAGTTGGCATGTGTCCTCATCATAGATGATGTAGAAAATATAAAAAATTTAGTAAGAAGGTCTCTTGTTACCAAAAAACCAAATCTTCGCTGAATCTTGAAAATGAGAAATTTAAAATGGGATGCAATATGCCTATTTCATTTTATGAGTGTAAGGCAATAAATTCCAAGTGGCAATAAAACTATTTTCTGTGAATATGCAGGTATATATTTAAACATGTCCATAATCTTGGATATGGCCTAGTAATGTTCAAAAGAAGGGTTTTTTCAGTGTCAGTATGTGATGAATCAAATTTTTGGGAATGGATTAAGAATATTATAAGCAGACAGTGTAATTGTAATAATTCTCTCCATTTTTTCTTTTTGAATTTTAGGCATCCAACAGGATTCATGAATCTAAAAATCAGTATAGTCAGATTATGCAAGAAAGAGAGACCCTATTGATAAAAATAAGCACTTTGGAACAAGATAAGGCAAGGCTGAAGAGATTAGAGGAAGAGCTGAACCGTGCAAAAATTAGCCTGGAATCAGAGTCTCGTTTGAAACAACGGCTGGAAAGTGAGAAACACCAGATCCTGAATGACCTAAACCAGTGGAAGAGTCAGTATTCCCGGACAGAAGAGTCCATTAGAAAGAGTGAGGCTGAGAGAGAAAAGAGTGAGAGGGAGAAGAATGCCCTGAGGAGTGAAATTGAAAGGCTACAAATGGAGATTAAGAGGCTTGAAGAGAGGTACAGGTGCAGACTGGAGGAGACAGCCCAACAAAGCCAGTTGCAGTGGGATGCTGAGCGTCTCCAACTGCAAAGGGAAATTGAAAAACTTCATCAACGCCCATATGGATCCTGCAGGTCTACACAGACAGAGGAGGACTTTGTCATTGACCCTTCTAAATTGTTGTTCAATGGGCTGCGGAAGAAAATTACAGCAGTTCAGTTATACGAATGTCAACTGATAGACAAAACCACGCTGGATAAATTGCTGAAGGGGCAAAGGTCAGTGGAAGAAGTTGCTGCTGACCTTGAGCCCTACCTGAGAGGAGCAGGTGCTATTGCTGGAGTCTCTCTTTCTCCAAAGGAGAAGTACTCTCTGGTGGAGGCTGAACGGAAGGAGCTTCTAATCCCTGAGAACACAGTTCTGCTTCTAGAAGCGCAGGCAGCAACCGGAGGTGTGATTGACCCACACAGGAATGAGCTGTTGACCGTGGACAGTGCCATTGCCAGAGATCTGATTGACTTTGATGACAGAGAACAAATCTATACAGCGGAAAAAGCCATTACGGGGTTTAAAGATCCATTCTCTGGAAAGACTGTGCCAGTGTCTGAAGCCATCAAGAAAAATCTGATTGACAGGGAAACAGGCATTCGCCTGCTTGAAGCCCAGCTGGCTTCAGGAGGCATTGTTGACCCTGTCAACAGTGTTTTCCTGCCAAAAGATATAGCTTTGTCCCGTGGGTTGATTGACAAAGACCTGTACACAATCCTGAATAGCCCTCGAGGCACAGCAAAGAATTTAATTGACCCCATAACCAAGAAGGCAGTCAGTTACACACAGCTAAGGGAAAAATGCAGGATTGAACCCCACACTGGTCTACTTCTCCTTCCTGTGCAGAAGAGAAGCTTGTCATTCCAAGGCATCAGGCGGCCTGTTATGCTGGAGGAATTGGTTGACTGTGGAATAATTCCAGAGCCAACAAAAATAGGCATTGAGCAAGGAACAATAGATCCGGAAACGATTCGTGAAGAAATTAAGGATTTCCTCCGGGGATCCAGCTGTATAGCAGGTATCTACAATGAGGCCACTAGGGAGAAACTTAGCATTTATCAGGCCATGAAAATAGGATTGGTTAGACCAGGTACAGCCCTTGAACTTCTAGAAGCCCAGGCAGCAACTGGTTTCATAGTGGATCCTGTCAGCAACATGAGGCTAACAGTTGAGGAAGCTTACAAAAGAGGTCTTGTTGGCATTGAATTCAAAGAAAAACTTCTGTCTGCTGAACGAGCTGTCACTGGTTACAAAGACCCGGAAACAGGAAATATCATCTCCTTGTTCCAGGCGATGAACAAGGAGCTTATTGAGAGAGGCCATGGCATTCGTTTGCTGGAAGCCCAGATTGCCACTGGTGGAATCATTGACCCCAAAGAGAGCCACCGTCTTCCTGTAGACATGGCTTACAAGCGTGGCTATTTCAATGAAGAGCTCAGTCAGATTCTCTCTGATCCAAGTGATGATACTAAAGGGTTTTTCGATCCCAACACAGAAGAAAACCTAACCTACCTGCAACTGACAAAAAGATGCATGCTAGACAAAGAAACAGGACTCTGTCTTCTGCCCTTGAAAGAAAAGAAAAAAGTGGTGCAGACTTCACAGAAGAACACGCTTAGGAAGCGGAGGGTTGTCATTGTAGACCCAGAAACAAACCGTGAGATGACAGTGCAAGAGGCATACAATAAAGGTCTTATAGATTATGATACCTATATGGAACTTGCTGAACAGGAATGTGAGTGGGAAGAAATAACCATAACAGGATCGGATGGTAGCACAAGAGTTGTCCTTGTTGACAGGAAAACTGGAAACCAGTATGACATTCAAGATGCTATTGATAAAGGTTTGGTTGACAAGAAATTTCTTGAACAGTACCGTGCTGGAAGTTTAAGCCTTACGCAGTTTGCAGATATGATTTCCTGTCGGAACGGCGGTGATGACGTATTCCGACATGAGTCCATCAGTAAGTCCCCCACCGTGATGAGCGTCAGAAGTTCTTCACTGATAAGGAATGGTTCACTTTCAGAGGCCCCAGAGGAATGTAGTCCCATTGCGGCCATATTCGACACTGAAAATCTGGAGAAAATCTCCATTTCAGAAGCTATGCAACGGGGCATTGTTGATAGCATTACAGGGCAGCGGTTGCTCGAAGCCCAGGCCTGCACTGGTGGCATTGTATGCCCTGTCACAGGTCAAAGACTTTCACTTCAGGAGGCAGTTACTCAGCGCATCATTGATCAAGATATGGCCACACGGCTCAAGCCAGCTCAGAAAGCCTTCTTAGGGTTTGAAGGTCTAAATAGCAAGAGAATGTCAGCAGCAGAGGCAGTTAAGGAAAAATGGCTGCCTTATGAGGCTGGTCAGCGCTTCCTTGAATTCCAGTACCTTACTGGTGGCCTTATTGACCCCGAAGTGCGTGGAAGAATAAGAACTGAGGAAGCCATCAAGAATGGATTGATTGATGGTCGTACTTCTCAGAAATTGCAAGACACCAGCAGCTACCCTAAAATTCTGACCTGCCCTAAGACCAAGCTGAAAATATCCTACAGAGATGCAATGAAACGGTCTATGGTGGAAGACATCACTGGGCTCAGACTGTTGGAAGCTGCTTCTGTTTCATCCAAAGGTATATCCAGCCCTTATAATGTCTCCTCTGCACCCGGCTCTCGCTCAGGTTCTCGTTCAGGCTCGCGCAGTGGATCCAGGAGAGGAAGCTTTGATGCAGCCACAGGTTCTTCATACTCTTACTCCTATTCAACCTTCAGCAGCAGCTCTCTTGGGCGTTCGTAAAAAGTCAGCAAGGGTATCTCCCTTAATTTCATTGTATACCTTTTACTTTCAAATAACCAACAGAAACTGGTTTGTGGTCATATTATTTGCTTGGGTGCAATGACCTAGTTGGAAAAGTCACATCCACCCCTCTAAAAAGAAAACCTGTAAAGACTTTTCTAGGTGGTCTTAACTTCTCTTCTCTTTTTTAAGCTGTAATATGTTTGGGGTGCGGGCTTGTGCAACAAACATTACAGGAGAGCAAATGCAACAGTTATGAGTTTGGGGTCTTTTAAAAAATGTTTGAATGTTTAATTACTCTCTTCCTGTATATTAAATATGCTATAGTTTGCTTCTCCCATTAACCAAAATTGTCCCCAGAATTGTAACCTGATAATCAAGATTTGAATGTTCTTTAATAGTTCACTGCTTCCCCAGCTAGCTTTTTTTTTACTTTATTATTTTAAAAAAAGGGGAGAAAAATATTGTGGAGGAAAAAAAAATCCTTATCAACATGTCTTCTGCACTGCAATATGAAAAGCCATATCCTTTTCAAGAGATATTGTACTTAACTATAGCTGATTGACTATTTGCTTAGTTATAATATGGTGCATATTTGGGGATGTTATAAACATGTGCTCTTCTTTCACTATGACCTAAGTATTTTTTCTGTTAATTTTGCTTGTATGTTTTCGATGTAACATCAACAGACCTGGCTGCATCAAATTTGGCTATTCTAGGCAATAAACTTTTGAACTTTTAAAGTCTCTGAGGCTTGATTTTGAAACTTTTGAATGAGTGCACTTTGGAAGGAAAACTTAGAGAGAGACACCTTATTTGTCAAAACAAAAAGAAAACTATGATAGAAGCACATGACATTGTCAGTGCAGACCAGAAACATTTTGTCCCCATGATGCTGGTCCTATTCTATGCATGAACACAAACCTAATCCTGCATTGCCCAAAAAGAACATGGAAACTGAACTATAACATATCCCCACCAGGAGCAGAAGGCCACGTTTCACATGTAAAGAACAGGGATGAGAAGAAGAATATTTCTTCCCCTGGTGATCCAGCAAGTGCTGTTTGCAACTTTAAGCAAGAAACTCTGGATGAGATGCTCCCCTCTCTTAGGGTAGTCATTGCCCATTTCCAACAAAGTACAGGTGCCAACATCCGTCATACAAAGCTGCTTCTAAAACTGCAAAACTACCTTAGTAGCTCCTGTAGTGCTGGCTCTGTTGGGCCTGTTGCTAGCCATTATGCCTAGGTACAGACATTCAAAAACCCCAAGGTGGAATTGGTCTAAGTTACGTGGGTTTCTGTAAGTGGCGTAGTATAAATCAGTAGTGAACAAAACACACATTTGCCCTTTTGTGGGGCGTGGGCAAATCTTAGATCAGGTTCTGCCGTTTTTAAACCAGTCCGTGCACTGAACGTCTGTTCGATTATGGGTATAAACTGGATTCCGATCACTTACATTGGTGAAGTATAGTGTTTGTACCCGGCCTACAAGTTAATCTCTTCCAGGTTTTTCCAACTTCTGTGCTGGCCCACTGTACCAGAGCAGAGTGATCCCAAATTCCAGATGTACGGACGTAATCTAAAGCCCCCTTAGTTGCACTGAATTCTCAGCCAGGGCAGAGGGTTGGTCCTTAAGGTTCATGATTTGGAGTGGAGCCAGAAATATCAAGTCTGTACATGCTGGCTGTTCCACTGCCATTCCCTGGCACTCCCTAGTAGACGCATCATTCCTATCAATCTGACCATTTAACGCTAGCACTGCAATGGGAGTTAACAAAAGCCCTGGTGACAATCCGAAAACCTTGCCAAGTGTACAAAAACAAGTGGCTCCTGGCAGTTGAAAAATGCATCACTGAGGCACATGGCTTACAGCCATGCATCATGCTAGGATTCCACTTCTCAGTAGTTGTTAGTAGTTAAAATATCTCTGTCAAAACTAAAAACCTAATTTCCATGAATACATAATGCTCTTTAGCATGATACTGGGTAAGTTATGTGATGTGCTTTTTGTTAGGGTGGTGGTTATAAAAGATGAGTAAAGTAATGGAATTTCACATCTTTGGCCCCCACTGGAGCTTAGCTTGTAACCTTAGAGTTCCTATGTTGTCTGGAAATCAACATCTGTATCTAAAATCACATCACAAATCATCCAAATTATGGTTTTGTTCAATTGTGGAACTAAGAAGCTGAATTGAATAGTCCTGCCCAGGTATCTCTGTAGTTGCAGTAGGTAGGAATGCGAGTGTGTAGAGATGAATCCCCTGGAAAAGCTTGGGACCTGAGCATTATACTTTGACAATATAATTTAAGCTCACGAACTGAGCTGTTGACCTAGATTGAAGGCATGACCCAGTTCCTGAACAACATATTCTGACCTCTTCTGTCTAAGGGAAGGAGCAGCTTTTTGCAACTTACTGACATGCTTGATTTATAAACTCTTTGTCTCACTAGTGTTAAGTGATACAGTCGGCTTGGGTATGTGCCGAGTGGTTCCATTGGCTGCATGTATGTGGGTCCTGTTGGAATTAGTAGGAAGAACCTATGCACTCCAAATGGTAGAGTTGCTCCTGTGCCATCAGCACAGTTTATATAAGCAGGCTTTGGCATCACAGAGTTCCCTTTGTTACAAAGCTTATCAGCTCCCCCTTTCATGCACAAATCATACATTCTTTTGGAGCAGGCAGTCAGAAATCTGCTTCACTTTGCTCAAGTGGCCACCAGATGGCCCTGTAAGTGCATTGTTCTGCACACTATGGCCAGATGGCTAAAGTTTTCAGCCCTGCAATGAAGATCCTTTGGGATAGTCTGGCAGAGTGAAGTTATGATGGGCTGTGCCGTGTGAGAGGGCTCTGCTTCATGTCAGCATAAAAGGTCTCCTACAGAAGAATTATATAGACCCACCTTGGAATGCTCAGGCACAGCCTGGATAGGATGCAACAATAAAGCTGTTCCAAAAAATCTCTTGAGCACCCAGGTTTCAGGTGGAGCAGACAAGAAGTCATTTGTATGAGCTGCTACAGTGATGGGGTCCCTTACCAGTACCCAGAGAGGCCAGTCAAGCCAGAAGAGCTTGATCCAAAGTCCACTGAACTTTGTAAAGATACTCACTTAATTCCAGTGATCTTTCTATTATGCCCCGTTTGTTTTCAGTGGTTTACCAGCTCTTCTTGCGGGTTCAGCTTTCCATTTAGAAGGGGTGTGGCAGGTCATTCAAAGGCATTTCTATAGGTTCTTTGTGAGCTGCACTTGGGGTTTGGAGTTGGCTCACGGCCTTCTCATCTTCATGTTGTTAGATGCTATGCAAAGCAAGTGGCCTTTGGTTTGACTATAGAGTGCCTACTTCTCTGCTGCTATAGGAATTCAAAACAATAGAGATGTGTGCAAGGGTAGGGAGATGCATTCTGTCACATATTTTCATGCTTGCTGTTCTCTTCCTAGCACAGGGTCAGTTGTTTGCAACTAGTCAGAATTTTCATCAGTCTGTCAACTGCCCAGCTCAGCTAAAGCAGCTGGCTGAAATGCAGTCTTTTTTTTTTTTTTTTTACCTTGTCACTTTGTCCTCAGAAGGCTTTTGTTTAGTAGTGCTCCTTGTCTGACCAAAGAAACCAAAGGGCTAAATAATGATTTAAGACCATATGCCTGCCTTAGAACCTCATCACATAGTTAGATTCAAGTGACCTGGCCCTGGGACAGGGGGTGTGCAAGAGTAACAGGCCTATTTACCCACTTACTCCAGAACCAGTGGTAGGAAGGAACAACAAACAGACAAAGCCCTGGCCACATCCTGCCTTACTCGCAGGCCACCGTAGTTGTGCCTAGGGTAGTAATTTAGTTCCAGTATGTGCCACTCCTATCCACCACTGGGTGAGAGGTGAAGGGAGTATAACTCTGAAGGGTACCTCTTAGCCACAGTCGGTGTCTGTACACACCACATGTTTTAATCATTAAATTAAACAGGTTTATAAAATTGAAACATTTATTTTGGAGCATCGCATCTGTGTTTATGTGCATTAGGTTTTCAAATGAATTGAGCCTTGGAGTGTCACATCTGTGTTTACACACACTAGGGCTTCAGATGAATTAAGCTGGGTCCCTGGCTGGTGCTGCAAGAGAGCAGGATGGTCCAGTGCTGCCACCCCACCCTGGGGCCCCCCACCTACTCTGTGCCCATGCCCTGCCACACAGCTGTGGAAACAGGGAGCCGAAAAAGAAAAAGCCACAGGAGAAAAAGAAAGTGGAAGCAATTTAAAACCAAAAGCTATCCCAAGGGGTGAAACTACAAAAAAGTTGCTGCACCATCTGGTGGACAAAGGGGCTCATTACATGTGAGCAATTATTTTGGGCTGAGGGCTGCTCACTGAGTTTTGGGGAGCTGATGAGGGCCACGTGGTTAGCACCACCCCTTGACAGTTGCCCCGCCTGTGGTTGCCCTATTGGGACCAGAAGTCCTGCCCCCAACCCCTGACCTTTGCCAACAGAAGTCCCTCCTCTTGCCCTGGAATTACTCCTTTTGGGAGGAAGGGTGTGTGGCAGAAGGCCACCTCTGTCTCTCCCAAAAACTCTGCTTTGTGACAATTTGGTTAACATGGACCTGGCAGAGGGCAGACATCCCATCTCTTTAGGTAACCTGAGTTGGATATGTTCCTGAGGGAGGGAGGAAACCTGCTCTTTCTGCCTACATGACTGGCATCACATACCTGGGTGAGGAGCTTACACTCCCCATTGTTCTAAGCAATGCTAACCTGACTGGGAGGGGGCTAGCGCCCCTGCCAATCTGCCCAGCAACCAGTGATGCATTTCAATTTGGTTGGCTGGCAGCCAACAGGTTCTGGTCTCCATTGGACCAGGTAAATTAGGTCATAAGGGCTATATAAGTTAAGGACTGTCCAGGAGGAGGGGCAGTGGCCATGATGAAAACTCAGAGAGAGAAGAGCTGGACCATCTGAAACTTCCTCTCTCTCTCTCTCTCTCTCTTGAAACTCATGATCAATGAACCACCTGCCTCCAGAGGGAATCTCCACCTGCCTCTGGATGATCCTTGTGAGTAATCTACCTGAGATCTAACTAGATATATAGCTTAGGCTACCCAGCCACCCTGTTTGCTCTATGGGATTTCTCTGATATTACTCTACCCTGTACCCTATTCCAAACCTACTCCTTGTAATCAATAAAGTTCTCCTTTGTACCTAGCATGGGAGACTTATTGGGAGAGGGGCTAGATTATGCCTGGGGGTCCCCTTGGTTTGTCTGGCTAAGAGAGACCACTATTTGTGCTTCAGTCTCAGGGAAGCACCCCAAGTTCTTGAAGTGGGTTGAGTACCCTTGAGGGATAATAGGCCTGTGTTTCCCAGGGGGCACAGTGCCAGGATCAGGCCAGACCCTGGGTGGTGGTAGCACTACCCGTAGGCTAGCGGGTGTGCTCCAGGAAGGGGGTCGGGTAGATGTGAGGCACTCAGAGCCTGGAAGGTGGTCGGGTGCAGTGAAGTGGGTGGCTCAGCACAGGAGCACCCCCTATTGGCCTGCCACAGAGTTCTGCAATCTTGAAACCAGAAAAAAACCCCAAATCATGTACAAAAATTTATAACATCTACTATAACTTATTTTAATTTTATTTAAAAATATTTTTGTACCAATTTATGTGTTTATGAAGAGTATCTAGAGGTGACTGCATCATAGCTCAAAATACAGTCCTACTGTATGTTGTGTGTGGGTGGTAAAGGGGTGTATGTGGTGGGGTATGGTTGGGAAGTGTGTGTGTGTGGGGGGGGTTATAGTGGGTGGGTGTGGAGAGGTGTGGGGTATGTGGTTGGGGTGGGAATTGTGGGAGGGGTTGGGGTTATGGTGGGTGGGGTGGGAGAGAAAGAGAGAGATGGGGCCAGGCTGTTAGCTCTATTGCCTGTGGCTCTCATGGACTGGATGAGAGCCTCATGCGATGCAGCCAGGCAGACCCCATGCCCAGGCTCCATGTTCCCACCCCACTCTGGGTCCCTGCCAGGGTACCTGTACGGGCTCCACACCCACCCGCCACCACTGTTTCCCTCTTTTCCCTCCCACATGCTTGCCTGATGCTTCGCCCACTGCCACCGCTTCCTGTGGCCCCTGCCACTCACCACAATGCTGGCACTTCCCGCGGCCACTGCCGCTTCTCAGGCTGCTTCTCATGCCACTTCCCATTGCCCCGCTGCACCACTTCCCATGGCTGCTGCCACTTCCCCCACCACTCCCAATGCCCCCCCTTGCTGCTTCTCTCCCACCCCCCACACCCACCCACTGCTTCCCACTCTGGCTCCAGTCCGGCCTGGCAAGCACCTTGGGGCTCCCAGCTACTGGGTGGTTCACAGAGGTTTCCCCCACTTCCTCCATCCAATCTTATCTTACTTTCTACTTGAACAGAGGGAGACAAGGAACAGCTCCAGGGTCACAAGGTCAGAAGCCTCAGAGGCTTCCAGCTGGGGACTTTGGGTAGAAGGGGGGTAGGGGGCTGGATGGAGCCAGGCAGGCCTTGCTGCTCAGCCACTGTGTCCTGCCACAGGCTTCCCCTGGGTCCTACTGCCACCTTCTACCTATCATCTTTGACAGGCAGCCAGGGGCAGATCAAATTTAATTTTCTAAAATGTTTAGGGGCCCCGTAGGCTGGATAGAATGGCCTGGTGGGCTGGATCTGGTGCATGGGCTGTATTTTGCCCACCCCTGTACTACGCAAATGTAAAAAAGGAGGCTATTGCAGAAATGTTCAGGAGCTTGCCTCTTTGGGTACCGGCAAGGGACCCCATCACTGTAGCAGCTTGTGCAAATGACTTCTTGTCTGCTCCACCTGAAACTTAGCACATGTCTAGGTGCTCAAGAGATATTTTGGAATGGCTTTATTGTTGCATCCTATCCAGGCTGGGCCTGAGCATTCCAAGAAGGTGGGTCTATATAATTCTTCTTCTGTAGGAGACCTTTTACACTGACATAAAGCAGAGCCCTCTCACACGGCCCAGCCCAGCATAACTTTACCCTGCCAGACTATCCCAAAGGGATCTGTATCACTGAAACTGGGGGGAGTTTTGCCACTGACATAAGGGAAAGTATAATTGGTTCTTTAGCTATTAGGAAAGCCAGTTCCACAGAAATCAAGCCTTGATGATGATGAGAAAACCATGATCATTTTATGGGACTTTACTGAATTTACTTCCAGTCATACAGAACAGCTAATTGCCATCCTTAGTCAGGCAAGCATTCTACTGAGGAATGTCCCAGCGTACATACAGTAGTGTTGTTTCTACAGCACAACAGGTTTCAGACAAAGATTGAGTTTGTTATTGTCTCCTGGCCAATGTCTGATTAACAGCCAGCTTTGTGAATTCCAAAATGAGAGGAAGAAACATTTACAAAATGACAAGTGTGAGACTCAGTGTAAAATTGTTTGAATTAATAAATCATAAATAGTTGAAGGGGTTTTTTTTCTATAGCCCTTCACGGGGTGCAGGGTAAATTCTGCTCATCTATATTGTCTAAATCTAGAGAAACTATATACTGCAATAAATCACTGAATTTAAAGAATTACACCTGAGAGTAGGATTTGTCCCTTCTTTGTTTATAAGACAAATATAAATGAAATGTCCAAAACCAAATCTAAGTAAAAAGTTAGGTTATTGTAGTGTGTATCAATGGGTAATCAAACAACTCAAGAGCTTTTATCAGCACACTCAAAACAGAGCAGTGCTTGGTGGTACTGAGGGAAGAATCTTTTGAGCTGGACTTGGTATCATATTTACTTGTCTACAGTATTTGTACAATATTCTCGTTGCACAATTTGCACATAGAGTACAATAGTATTACAAACTCTGTTTATAACAATCCTCTACTTATAATAATTCCAACCAGATTTTTTCATGATTATTATGCAGCAAATTAACTAACTCTATTAGAGCAAATGCCCTCTTAATGAATTTTTCTCTGAGTGGCACAGGAGTTCATTGTAATGATGAGGTAGCACAGCATATGACTGAGATATATACTGAAGAAATAACAACAGTCGGAGTAAGAATTTTACAGTGGGTGTTAGAGACATTGAGCTGTTTTTAACCTCTTAGCCTTGCATTATTACTCATTTACAGTTAAATTGCTGGTCCCTTTACAAATTCCTGTTCTGCCAGCAGTTTTGGAACGTAGATACCACAATCTGTTGCTTCACACAGGCCAGGGATGCCTGCAGGACCAGGAAATCCAGGCTGCCCAGGAGGGCCGCTGTATCCAGGAGGGCCTGTTGGGCCTGGCTGGCCATCTTGGGCAGTAGCGGGATGTCCAGGAACCCCTAGAGAACAAGAATGAGATCAGGAAATGATATAAAGGATGAGGGAAACTTGAAGGAGTTGAATCCTTCCTTCCCAAACCAGGGGAGGTTCTTCTCATGCTGGTGTGAGGAAAGAGTCTCTCTGTTAGCACTGGTGGAGTTACACTTGTGTAAAACAGAGAGCTGAATCAGCTCATGGCATGGAGACATTCAGGAAAATCAACAAACTGGGAGGGTTAAAAGGGTCAGTGAGAAATCTAGCTGCTGACTCAGGGGGAATATTTATACCCTCTCCATGAGCCAATAACAATGTTGGCCTCTCTGACCTTCCTCCCCACCCCAGGTACACAATACATTCACATAAAACAAAGCTTCTTCACAGAACCCTGTTAAATCAGTACAAAGTACGGCTTCTCGTTCTATGCAAGCCAAAACCTCAGTGCAAGCAGCTGAATACAACAAAAAACTGTTGGGGAACATTGGGTTCTCTGCACAGTCTTGTACTAACTAGTCCTATATCATTAGTGCCCTGCTTCAAGGGGTGGAGAGCTGATTTTTTTCCTTATAAAAAGGTCAAGAGAAAACAGTTGCAAGGGATGCTCTGCTCCCTTTTCCTTGAATATTCCTAACAGCCATTATCATGATATTACCGAGATCCTCACAATGTCATCATTAGCACTGGCTGCTATCGAAACCTTCACATTTTGCAGAAAGAGAGAGAGAAACTAGCAAGTAGCAAACTTATACTTGGAACAAAAAAATGTGTAGGGGATACTGTGAATAGCCTGAATAACGTTACATATTTGCACCAAGGCTTGTAAACATTTTGCTGTACAAAACACAGTGATTCAAAAGGTTGCATATCAACGGTTCATGGCTGAATCTAGGAACATCTTTGTGGTGAGAATAGAAAGAAGTAGAGTGCAAGGGAGTTTAAAAATCCTCCGATGATACATTTGGCCATCATTCATTACCTATAGACCCTGGAGGTCCATCTGGTCCAGGGAGTCCTTTACCCAGATCTCCTCTATCACCTTTCTGGCCTTTTTCTCCTATGTGGCAGAGAACATATAAAGAAATGAACAGAGACTTACTTGCAGAGGAGTATTCCTTATCAATCCATATAGAAACATTACTTTCTCTACCTGGTTCCCCAACTTCTCCATTAACTCCAGGAAATCCAGTAGGTCCTGTGGGGCCAGGTTTCCCAGTAAGTCCAGGAAGACCTGGTTTTCCCTGTTCAAATAAATGTGAACAGCTTTAATTTGTAAAGAGCCCAAGCAGTGTGCTTGACTTCATCATATTTGGGAAGACATAAAAAAACAATAAAAAACAGAAGGGATAAGAAATGCATCATCAGAAGAAAGGAAACGCCTTCAAAGTTTCATGCTAAAGTACATCAGAGTTTACTTACCTTTTTTCCAGGTGGTCCTGCCATGCCAGGAAGTCCTGGGGGTCCAATTAGTGTCAGATTAGCAGTGGGACAAGCACTGGCACATTTGTATCTGATACCTGCTGAATATTGGGCTATCTGAGCTATGATCACATTACGACACAGTTCATACACGTGCTCCTCAGGCATTCCTTAAGAGGAAAGTACTTATTTATAACACAAATAAAATATCACTGATATCTTATTGAATAACACTCCAGGGAATTCATTATACTGTAACTCAGTAGTGCTCAACCTCTCATTTTCAAGATAGATTAAGCCTGTGAAGCAGCAGCATCCAGCTGTGGGGTCTCCATGGGTTCAGAAATTTGGCAGCAGTGGAGCGGTAAAAGTGTTAATTGCTCTCAGAGCTGTAGCAATTAATGCTGCCACCCTTCCTTCACCATCAGATTTCTGGGCCTGTGGAGAGCTCTAAGGTCCAGATGACATGGCTCCACATCAGGGGTGGGCAATTATTTCAGGAGCAGGACCGCTTATTGAGTTTTGGCAAGCCATCAAGGGCCGCAAGACAGGCAGTCAGGGGCAAATAAATATTAATTTTCTAATTTTTTTAGGGGCCCCACGGGCCGGATAGAATGGCTTGGCGGGCTGCAACCAGCCTACGGGCTGCATTTTGCCCACCCCTGCTCTTGTCATCATCCTGTGGTAAGATCTGGCATGCAGGGTCACACTGTGGCCAGATCCGGCATGCTGGGTTGTGCCAGCGTGTGGGATAACACCCATGGTCTAACCTCACATGCCAACCCTGCACTGAATCAGGCCCATGGACAGATCCTGCTGTGGACTGGTCCCACGCCACTCATCTGGCCTGCAGGGCTGCTATAAATATTCACCAAATAATTGGATGAACAGTATACAGCTTTTGGTTTGTTCAGAAACTGCTCAATTTGACCTTTTCCCATGTGCAATGGGTCACCACAGTCATGTGGTATCTATTTAGGGCAAATTTTTAGGAAGGATAAGAAGAAACAACCCATGGCAAATGATAAGCAACAAATATTGACTGGAAAAACATTCCTGTGTGCATCAAAAGTTGTTGACTTTTTTCTGGAAGGTTTAAACAGGGATGGACTGGCTGACCTCCCAATGCCCCTTCCCACCTCTTCTATGACTGTATTGTCTGTATCTATGGCTGTACCAAGAACAGGTATCAGTGCATCAATCCATTAGCACTAAAGTTAACAAACAGAGAAGATGATGGAAGCAAACACCTATTTGTAGGAATCTGAACAAAGCTCATTTTTTCATCTTTAATTAGGCCAACATTCCAGGCCCAAAGTGATCCCCTCCTCATCGGAAAACTATCACTACATCTTCATGGCATCAGATTTCATAATACCATAAATTCTTGTTTGTTCAACAACTTACTTAAATGTAGACACCAACATTTCAGGTAGCTTGGCACTGGCGTTTGCTTCATCCCACTTCTAAAAAGTGTTTGGTTTTGTTGTTGTTTTTTTTAAATTGCTCATATTGTCTCTGAACACACTGAACAGTATCAGCAGCAACATTTGCATTAAGCTTTATTCACAAATGCAGCCAGGGTGTTACAGACAATGAATTTGGGGACATGGAGCTTATATAGGAAGGTGATTGTTTGTTTGTTTTTTTAATTATGGGGAAATTTGCTTTACTTTTTGTACCTGCTGCCTTATTTGTATATGAATTTAGAGCTAATTAAAAGTGCTGACAGCTTTAAACACTGAACTCTTACGAGCTAAAGAGCAGGCCAAGTACTGGCACCAGCTGTGCTACCCCAGGAGGTGTGCTGGCAAGGAACTGTGACTCTAGGAAATGACCAAATTAAGATATGTTAATAAGGAGCAGGGACTTTACAATGTAAGGGCTGATGTATAGTAAGTGCTCAGATGCCTGTAATTACCCCAAGGTAATTTAACTAAAAGCTAAACTGGGGCAATTTAGCTTTGTTTCATCCAAGCTGCCTTATTTTATTAGCTTTTACAGTACAGTTGCATCATACACACATTTAACTTGTGCAAATTCAGCTTTACACGGAGTGGGAGGGGGCTTCAGTTTGCGGCGGCGGCGGGAGGTTTTGGCAGCATGGTGGTGGCCCGGTGGCACACAGCCATCCCCTCCACCCTGCACTGCTGCTGCCGGCCGCACAGCTCCAAGCACAGCTCTGTGGCGGCGGCGGGAGGTTTTGGAGGCAGAGGTAGTCGCCGTTAGTCAGATCGCTGGCAATTTGACTATGCGTGATTTTCATCTTACGCGGTGACCTTGGAACCTAACCCCTGTGTAAGTTGTGACACGCCTGTACTTACCAGAGGCTCATTGCAGATGCATTAAAAGTGACCTTGCACCAGCTGTTCTATAGTAAGTCTCCATCCCTGCTAACTCATTGGAAACTGAGCACCTGCCCAGGGTCAGCCTAAGAGTACAAAAGAGGGCTCAGAGGCAGAGCTCCTGTGTCTGCTCCTAACTTTGCTGTGACCTTTTGGGATGGTCTAGGGAGAGTCTTGCAACTTCATTATGCCCCTGAGCTCGCCTGGAGAATCATTTCTTCTGGTGAGTGAGCAGAGCAGTCTACTGTTGGATCTTTGGCCTCTCTGCAGTTTTGTTTTTTTTCCCAGCAAAAACATTGAGCTGAAGATAATTTGTGATTTGGCCACTAGGAAAACTGACCTCTGATAAACCAAAGCAAAGCAACAGCCACTAGAGAGCAAAACCTCCCAGGCCCTTCTGATCCAGGCTGGACTTGTTCTAGAGACACAGATAACAGACTCTATTCTGTCTCCGGTCCTGAGAGCAGGATATTTCTTCTGGGATGGAAGATCTGAACAGCCCAGCAGCTTTCTAAAGCATGACGGCTGTATAAGCAGGAAAGTGGATGGGAGGAATCCTGATCCTCACAAAATCAGGAGGAGAGGGAGAAAAAGAACACCAGAGCAGCAAGAACTGGAAAGGGAACCAGCATAGAAAAGAGAGGAGATAAAACATACCTCAGGTCCACGAGGCCCTGGAGGTCCAGGGGGACCAATTATTCCATTCTCCCCCACAAAGCCTGGAAAACCTCTTGGACCAGGTAAACCAGGGACACCTCTTTGGCCTTCTGGACCAACTGGACCAGGAGATCCACATTCTCCTTGCTATTAGTGGAAATTTGAAAGGAGAAAATGAACAAATGGGTATCTATTCCCCCACCTTTCTCCTTTTCCCTATCTACTCTTCTCCATTGTTCTGTCTGCTTACATGTATAACAAGTGTGCCTGTGCTCATTCAGCATTGTAAATAGTGTTATAAGACAGTCATATTTAGAGTTTCTGCTGAGCAGTGGTGAAACCTTGCATGTCAGGAAGCCAAGTGCCCTCCTCCTCTGCACATTGAAGGGGAAGTGCTTCAACTCAGAACATTAATTTGCTTGTCCAGAGTATTGATAAGTGATCATCTCTGTTTACTACCTCCTGCTGTGTGATGTGTTTAATAATTTAGAGTGGCACATCCAGGAAAACTGAATGATCAGTTTTATATTGATGACCCATTCAATTACTAATCATTCAATTGATTAATATGCAGGGTGGTGGATCACTGTTAAGAGGAGTTTTCCTGAATGGCTCGTGCAGTTGTAACTCCACCTTGATTCCTGCTACGCGACTTCCCTCTGACTCTTCCAGGAAGGGTTTTCATAGGAAAAGGGCTCACTTCAGATCAAAATTTGCAAGTCTCACATGGGTAGAACCAAAGGGATATGGAGGGTACAGTTGCACCCTCCTTCTTGGACAATGCCACAGGAGCAGTAGCCAGTAACTTCTAAGTCCCCAAAATAGGTAATAATTCTCCCCACTCCTTTCACCTCCATGCTCAGCAGAATGTCCCCTCCCTGGCCCACTGCTGCCACTATCCCTGGCTGGCCCAGGGGTGGAAGGAGCTCCAGAGCCCCCCTTACCCCACTGTGTTTGGGCTGCATGGGGAGTTAGGCTGCAAGGGGGGGAGCAGCAGCAGGGGGAGACATGTTCTCCCTCCCTGCTCCCCATCCAGACCCCCCAGACCAAAAGCAAGCTCAGGCAGGGGAAACAACAGGGCTGTCCCCAGCTGAACCTGGCTCCCCATGCAACCTGGCTAAAGGGAGAGGCAACAGTTTCTCAGAACCCTTCCCCTGCCTCTCACACCCTGTCACTGGGGAGTGTCTCAGAAACCTTCCCCTGCCTCTCACACCCTGTCACTGGGTCAGCTTAGGCCAGTGACAGTTGTGGGCAGGAAAGAAGGGGAATGGGAGGAAAGGGAACATGTTACTGAGCATGGAGGTTAAGGGATGGGATGGGTTATGGGGGAAGGAGCCTTAGCCAATCTGAGGACTTAAAAAAAATCCCCAGCTGCTATTCTTGCACCATGATCTGCCTGCTTTGGTTGCTGGAGCAGGGGGAAGGAGGAGGATATGAGATCAGGGGTGTAGCCACTCCAGCCATCTCAGTTGCTGTTCCCACAACTCCACTCTACAAACTCTTGGATCCACTCATCAAATCTTACCATATAAAACACCAGCCCCATTAACTTCCTGATTACTCCCACTGCTCTATGTCCATCCTAGTCCAGCAGGCAAGCCACTTGCATGTTCATAGCACTGATATCACATAAGCAGGATACGAGCTTTGGGGTTTTCTTCCCCCCCCCCCCAACTCCAGAGCCAGGGCGAGTTTTGAATGTGGGTTTTAAGCATCAAGAAGCTGATTCTGGTGAAAGTTTATGTTCTGTGTTGCACACACCAAGGAGCAAGTCCTTGACTCGGCACGCAGCATGAGTAACCAGACTCTCTTCAGTCTGTGGAGCAGCAGCCCTGAGGTGCAGTGGCTGTAATCTTTGAGCTCCAGTAGCCCAATGGCTGGTATGCTCCTCATAAGCAAATGGGGAATAACTTGTGCGCCACGCTAGCTGCAGTCCACAGCAAACATGTTATGTGCTGGGACACGGGGAGCCCCTGTAGAATACAACTCTGCTGCCTGTCTTGGAGGATGGAGCTCCTTTAATTCTGACTTCTCATTTCTGAGGCCAACCTGTTTCCTGTGAAGGAGCTTCCCTAACAGTGGGAGCCAAACAAATAATTTCTCATGACTCGGCACAGCTACAATGGGCATTATAGCGAAAAGCATGACATACTTGGCCTTTGTCTCCCCTGTCTCCGGGATCACCCTGCAAATTGAAACAATAAAAAGTCAGCTCATTGGGGTTAGCATTTGCAAGGGTCTTGAGCACCATCTTAAATTCCCAAAGGCATGAGCTGTACCTGGGATCCAGCATCCCCAATGTCTCCTTTTCTTCCAGTATCACCCTGTAAAGGAAGGAGCGCAAGTCATAGCATTGTATATTCTGGATATACGTGGATAGAAGGTATGGTCTAGAGTTTAAATCACAGTCTTTTTCTCTAGAACTGCCACTGCCTTGATGAGTGGCCTAGGGCAGTATTTCTCAACCCATGGGTCATGACCCAAAAGAGGATTGCAAGACTATATGAAAGGGTTGCAAACAAACTTTAAAAATGGATTCTCCATTCAGTATGAAAAAACATGGGAAACTGTGGGTTTTCCCTTGCAGGCTGACTGAGTTCCCACCTGCGAGGGGCTGCCCTCCACACACCAACCCTCTGCCCCATACACCGGTGGGCCGAGGCCTGGGGGTGGGGGGCTGTGGATTGGGAGTGAGGGGCACCAGCAGGGCCAGGGGGCTGTTTTGAACTTAAACTATTTACTGGGTCAGGACTGGCCATTGATGTTTACAAATGGGTCCTGGTACAAAAAAGTTTGAGAACCACTGGCTTAGGGCAAGTCATAGACATTCTTTGTTATTTGTTTTCCTCGTCTCTAAAATGGAGATTCATTTTTCAGTAGAGTGTAGGGAGCACATGTTATTTGGTAAAGTGAGGTCTATGGATGATAAGCACTATCCCCTTAGACCCCCTCATCCCATCTGCAATTTTAGGATTCAATGGGCGTGTCTACATGAGACATTTACTGCGGAGTTGCTTGGTGTCTACATGTGCAGGGCTGTTAGGACAGAGTAAACTAATTGACTCTGCCGCAGATAGTGCTTGTAAGGTTTTTTGTTGTTGTTGTTTTTGTTTTGTTTTTCACTCTGCAGCAACACATGTTTAGATGCGGATGCAGCTGGCTTGGGGCATAAAGGTACTTCAGTGCAGGGACTGCCTGCCAGCTAGCCCCACAATGAAGCACCCCCATGGCCCAGCCAGCCCTGTGTAGCAGGTTGAGCTAGGTCAGAGCAGCCCTGGGCTGGCAGGCTGATCCTCCGGGCCCCCTGCCAGCTGGGGTGCTCTGACCCAGCTCCATGTGCTGTGGTCCCAGGCACATATTCAATCTCCAGCATAGTATGCACATTAATTGCATGTGTATATCTGCCCAATGTTAAGACAATCCTCCTTGTCATCAGAAAAGGCCCAACTCAGCTCCTCTCATGATCCAGATCCACAAGAGTACAAGAGGGTACTTGAATGTGATAATAGATTTCTTTCTACCTTAAAGCAAGAGTTCAGGCTTCCTGAGAATCCCCCATCCCTGCTCAGCTCAGGGAATATAGCCCTGGGATGGTGCATGAATGCTGACCTGCTGTGTGGCAGCATCATTATTTCGGTGCATGAATCAGGTTTGAGGAATATGAAAGAGTGCCTGAGTTCTCCCTCAGAGCCTGAGTGGTATGTCACACATAGAGCTAAGTGTCATGACCTTACAAAACCCAAATGAAATCTTCTTTCACTGTAACACTCCAGAAAACCTTGTGTACTGTAAAACTCTTTCATAAATCATAGTGGTACACCAGTACCATTATGAAGCCATTTCTGTGCAACAGCAGATTTATAGTTGCCTTTCTGAAATATATACTTCAAAAGCAAATAAACCATACCTTTGGGCCTTGATCTCCAGTCTCACCTTGAGCCCCCTGTGGAAAAGACAAGCAACAAAATTAAATGATACCCAGGGAAGAATGAAGTAACCATTTGAGTTGCTCATTAGTAACCTGGACTTGTACCTTTTGGCCTTTTATTCCTTTAGAACCGGGTTTACCTGGTAGGCCAGGATCACCCATCACACCTTTGGCTCCCTGCATGGAAAAGAGGCAGAGAATCTGTAACTGTTTTCCACAAATCCTGTTAAATTAGATTTGAATACCAGTTTTAGTTTTTTCTTTCTTGTTGCTTTTTTAAACATTTAATTTGAATTTAGATGTTGGGCTCATTCATGATGTCACGGTCTTCACAAAGTCTCCTTGCTAGAACACATCTGGTAGAAAAAGAAAAAGTCTAGCAAGTCTTTGAATGAAGCAACACACTTACGGAAACAGTGGTTTATCTTCAGCATAGAATAAACCTAAGTAGTAAAACATGGTGGCTGTTTGAAAAGTATATTATCCTTGTACTTAAATTAATTTAACATGTGCACTGTGTTTGATTTATTCCCAGATGTATTTTGAGTGCTGTTTACTTGGGCATCTGATTCTTTAAGATACTTTTTACTTGGTGCACTCCAGAAACTCCAGTCACCTGACGGGGCTCCTAGCTGCAGGAGTGCATGGCTCACTCCCAAAGTTTGCTACTTGCTGGTGCAGGGGGAGCCCAGCATTGGTTGACAGATCCTACAGAACAATGGCCCCAGGTGCCACCCCTTTACCACAGAGCAGTGTCTGCAAGTGGGAAAATTTCCTGCTTGTAGATTCATGCCTCAAGAATCCCTTGCAGGGGATTCCTGGGGTGCTCATTTCATGCTGTTGCACCCCAATCTGTGAATCCTGCACCCTGGAAATCCCCTGCAGGGGGACTCTCATGGCATGCAATAATCGGACAGACATCCTTCCCTATAAGGCATCAGACCCTTGACTATGTTTGGCTGTGCAAATATTTTGGGGCATTTGGAACATGAGAAGGGGTAGGGACATCTGTTCAGTCACAGCTTATGCCTCCATAAAAATGTTTATGGCAACATAAGGGTAATGTCTGTTTGCACCCTAAGACTATAGCTGGATTCTGAGAGAGGTTAAAAAGTTTTCTTGCATTTTGAAGATAGCTCTTGTGTGGTTGCATAAGAAGACTTCCTGCCACTCCCTCCACCTCTGCAAGGCAGCTGGGAATAACAGCATTCTCTCTCCAAGCAACCCTGGATGACCACGTTACCACAAAGGCCTCTGGCCCCCTCCCACTCTCACCAACAAAGGTGAGTGATTTTCCCACATCATTCCACAGCCCAATGCAGTTCTGTCCCCAGTGCAGTGACATTCTTCTTAGACTCATCTTAGCCCAGGATGAACATCTTGTTCACAGAATAATTTTTTCCTATGTGGTTTTCTGAAGTGGGAACACACAGTCACCTCTTAGTATATCCCTTACCATGGAGCCTGATCTTCCTGGTGGTCCCTTGGGACCCTGCTCACCTTTGTTACCCTGTCAAGAGAGCCAAAAGCAAATTAAATCTCTGGGGTTTTTTTCCTGAAGATGAATCAGCGATAACACAGTCCCCGTTTTAAGAAGAGGTGGAGAGGTTAAGAGAGGGTTCAGAGGATTGTGATAAAAATGATAAAGGTGTTAGAAAGCAAGCTGTATGAGGAAAGGTTGAGAGAACTAGGCATGATTAGCTTGGAGAAAAGGCAATTAAGGAGGGGGATGTGATAGCAGTCTTCAAATATCTGAAAGCCTGCCATAAGGGGAGGGAAGGGGATAACTGTTCTTTGCTGCAGAGGGTAGCATGTGAAGCAATGGCTTCAAAGTAGGTTTAGATGAAGTATCAGAGGGTGCATCTACATGAGATGCTTTACTGTGGAGTTGACTAATTAGCTGTGCTGTAAAGCATCACCATCTACACATGCACCCCTATTAGGTTGGAGTAAACTAATTAACTCTGCTATAGGACAGTTCTGCCCAACACAAGTACTATCCTACGGCAGAGTTATTTACTCTGCTGCTACGTACTTGTAAACAGTGACTGGGGCTGCCTGCTGGCTAGACCTGCACTGTAGCACCTTCATGCCCCAGCCAGCCCTTTTGCAGCACACTAAGCCAGGCGGAGCAGCTCTGGGCTGGCAGGCTAAACCCCTGGGCACCCTGCCAACTCGGGGTGCACCATTCCAGCTCAACATGCTGCAGTCCTGGGCACGTGTGAAGATACTGCACCCGAGAGCAATAGACTCTGGTACAAACTGTGCCAGTGTTTATTGTGTCACATTAATCACATGTAGATGCCCCCAGAAAGAACGTCCTTACTATTAGAATAGTGAAACAGTGGAATAAACTGTGGAATCTCTTTCACTGAAGGGTTGTCAAGAAGATTTTGGATACACATTGACTACAGATGATTTAGTAAAACCATTCCTGCATTGATGCAGGGAGTTGGACCGAATGCCCCTTGAGGTCCCTGCTAACCCGACAATTATATGGTAATTGGATTGGATCTATTCCAATACTTTATGCCATGGTTAAAGTGAACCTTTTTTTTAAAAGGGAGCTCAATTTAGCCATGTCAAAGCATGTTTGAGATGGGTTTTTGCATTACATGACCAGCAGGAAAGTTAAAACTGAAAATGCTACTGGGATGATCAATAATGAGAGTATAATTATATGTAATCACCTTCAGTGGAACCTCTGAGTTTCCTTTGACAAAAGTTTTAGGTTTAAATTGGAACAGGGTAGGGTCATGGAGTGATGGACACACGAGTCATGTAAATCATCTTTTTGCTAACAACTTAATTCCCTAATTCTTGTATTAGTTATTGTTAATGGTGGCTCTCTTCTTTTCGTTTAATTATCAAGTTGTTTTTACCTTTGGTCCCATGAGTCCAATCTCACCCTCTAATCCTGGGATTCCCAGTGGACCCTACAAAACATGAAATATCTCTCAGAACAAATTTTTATTACCCGAAAATGAATCAGTTAGATCTACGTCAGTGTTCTTACATCTCTTCCTGGAATGCCATCACTGCCTGGGATTCCCATAGGTCCTTCATCTCCCTGAAAATCATAAGAACCAAGTATTCAAAATAGCTTCTCAACAACATTCATCAAAATAATACAGAAAATCTACCATTGCATTTGTCTGTATGTCTTAGTGTATGTCTATTCATGGAAGATTCTGCCTCAACACCCCTGAAGACTGAAGTTTATTACTGAACAACAGACAGACAACTAAGGCCCAGATTCTGTTCTACCTATTAGGTGCATAAGTGGATGTAGGGGCCTAAGTGTGATTCTATTTTACCCTGCCCAAATCCTTGAAAAACAGTTCATGCAGAAGGTGAGTGGATCCTCCTCCTCCTCACTTTGTTTTTTGTAACTCAATCTTAAGGGTCAGATAATGGCAATTTACAGAAGTAGATTGATCGATGCATTTTCTGGGCCTAGAGCAAGGTAGAACAGGATCACACCTAGGCACCTAAGTCCACTTAAACACCTAAGAGGTAGAATGTTCAAATAGCCACATAATATTCCACCAATAGGCCTAAAAACTGATTTGATGGGACTATCTCCAAGGATGAAAGAGTAGATGAGTCTCCATGACTGTTCCAAAAAATGTGTACTTGTTCCCTATGTTCCTCCAGCTCAGACCTCAAAGAAAGGTTTGTTAACATTTCAAGAAACAATGACAATGGGATGGTGGAAATTCATGCATGATTGGAAATAAGATGTCTGAAGAACAGCTTACAATGAAATCAGTTGTGCAGTAGGAATAGGGTAATGTTTTATAGCCAAGCAGCTTGTATTTTCTCTCATGTAGGGTACAATAAGACATTTGAATTATGCATTCTTAAAATCCTCTGCTTCCCTTACTGTTAACCTTTTCAATATGTAAGTGTTTAATTAGTTCCTAGTCCCCGCCCATCACAAACAATATCAAAGCTCCTCTTGACTTCACTGGGGCAGGATATAGTGCTTAACCCAGTCAAAATAGACCTTTTTTGTACCTTAGGCCCTGCTTCTCCAGTTTCTCCCATGGCTCCTGGATAACCCTGGGTGAAAGGGAAAAAGGAAAATTGAAGGAATGGTGGTATAGCAGAGTAGTGTTAGGTAAATGATGTCGAACAGTTCATGAATTTTGAACAGAACATTATATTTTTCACCTCTGATAAGATATTGATGGTGCCCTGGTCCTTTCTGATCTCTTGTAGCCCATTACAACTTTTGGGATTCTGTTTTTTCAGATTAAAGAACTCTAATTTATTATGAGGTACCCAAGGGAGTGATCTGTGGCATGTCACATGAACCAAACTAGATATCCTTTTGGATCCTTTTTGGCTAAACATCTATTGTATGTTTGCCTATTATAACAGGGGCCTGGATGTTATGATGTAACCAGGTCCCTTTCTACGCTCCCAAATTACCGTGTCACATCAGATCTAAATCTCAAAATGAGCCTGGTGCAAAAAAAGACAGTCAGGTACAATCGTTGTACACAACAATTCTCTTTCACTTTGATTTTTTTACAAGCCCAGTTTTGAAAGATAGGTCTTACTAATCATGTAAAATAAAGAATAAAAAGTAACAATAGAAAGTATTTCTATGCTTAGGGAGGGCTGAAGCTTGCCTGCATGTTATGCAGCTATGCATCAGGAGAAAGTGCTCAACTGCTTCAATACCTTTTTGATTCAGTGATGTTTGCCCTTCATTCCTTTTAATTTTTTTTAAGGAATAGCAACTTTAAATAGTAGACAACACTTGGGAAATGAGACTTAGACCCATCCATTTAGCTGAGCCTATCCATTTTAGGTATAGTACCACTGCTGGCATCCTGATTCTGTCATTCTCGATTTAATATATTGCTCCTTGAATAGTCCTGCTAAAATCAGTGGCAATTCACTGATGAGCGCTTCCTCATTTCTGAGAGCCCTCTTGATGTCACTGGGATAACTTGTGAGAGGTTCATGAGTGTAAGGAAGGAAGGGCAGGCTGGCACCAGAAGTATCCTGTGTAGCAGATTGAGCTGGGTCACAGCAGCCTTGGGCTACCAGGCTGAGCCCCCGGGCCCTCTGCCAGCTGGGGTTGCTCTGAACCAGCTCAATGTACAAAGAATTCTTAGTCACCTTAATGGGACTCTCACCTGCTAGGGATTTACATGATTAGACTTTTACCAATAGAGACATGAGGCACAGTTTGCTGCCTTCTAGATTTACCATAGATCCTTGCTTTCCATGGGCTCCTTTGGGTCCATTAGCACCAGCAAAGCCCTGGGACAGAGATTTGAGAGTTGTTATTTCAATGCATCATGTTCTTCACTAAATTATATCTGTAACTTGAGTGTCCAATCCATTCTTGAGTGAGTGACTGCATCTGCATTCCAGTTTCTGGCTCTCCATTATTTCTCGTGCTGGTAACCAGCATTCTTAGTATGAAGATGGGCAAGGATAAGTAAAAAAAACTGGACCCATGAACACCCTTTTTTGGCTGTCTGTGTATCTCTGTCCCCAGCAGTAGGACTTCTCCAGGCATGAGGAAAGCTCCTGCTTAGCCCTCTCAAGCAGAATGGTTAAGTGCAGCAAATATGAAGTGATGGGGGGCACTTTGCAGCAGAGCTATTGCTACATTGCATGAAGAAAGTCTGCATAAATCAGCTACACTTCCTCCAGGGACTGCTTGCAGCTGTTTGGATCCTACATTAACCTTGACACAGCTCTGAGCTAAGGACATGGCATAAACTGCACCATGTCAGAAACAGGCCAGGATGTACCATGACTAAGGCATCTTTCGGTTATGACTCTGCCCTTGCTTCTGTCTCGCTCCTAGAGTTTATACCACCAGGAAACTACTATATGCCTTCCCCCACCCACAGAAGCAATGTAGCTGCACTGGCACAGCACTTCAGGTGGCATAATTAGCACTGCTGAGTGACAGTGCTGATTAGCCTAGCTCCATGTCAGTTAGCCTGCCTGCAATGCTGCCTAGTTGCATTGTTTTTGGTTCAGAAAGCAGCCCAGCCTGAGCAATTCGGTTTTCTATGTAGATGTTGCCATTAGCTGTTCTGTGGGTCATTTTTGCTTTCCCTTCTATTTAAAAAAAAAGTATATTTTAAGTATAATATATTTATGATGTATCAGATTTGCTTAGGTGTTTCTAAAGGCAACACAGTGGGAAATTACCTTTGGTCCATCTAGCCCCGGAGGTCCTGGTTTTCCTGGTGTTCCTTGTGAACCCTAGTTAACAACACAAACCCAATGCTTCACTGGGTTAATCTAATTAGATCATTAAAGAAAATACCAATGGGTAATGGGTACATTTAGCATGGCTATAACTCTATTTTTTTCATGCAATCAGTTTTGGAAATCCTATATTGTTAGAAGTAATAAGATATGGTAGGGGAGTTTTCCCCCTCAAGTTTATGGGGAAAATTGACATACATACATATGTATAGTCTTTAGTGCAGAGTTTCTGAAGCATATTAGAAATGGTCACCGTTCAATGCCTGAAAATATCTTTGTGACATTTCATGAGTCTCTGCACACAATTTACAGACGTATCAGAACAAAGGGAGCACTCACCAGCAGTACATTAGGTATTCCAGACGAAGGTATAACCACTATAAATGGCTATTAAGTACATGAGGCAAAAGGTTTTTTGAACAGTGTGTTTTAAAGATGGGTTGTGTAAAAAGTTGGAACAATACAGCGTTGTATGAAAATAAAATGTTTCAATAAAGGGCAACAAACATACTCAGAGGGCTTGAAGAAATGACTCATCAATAGTAATAGTTTGCAGTTATAAAATTTGAAATCTAGTAGAGGTTTCAAGACCAGCCTCTTATTTGAAGTGCTGGGATGTCTGGAACTGGAATTCTGGTTCAGTCCAATATAAAGCAAGGATGCAACCATGCAGGCAGAAACCTGAACCCTCTTGAAGTTTTGGTGGGCACATGAAATTCATGCAAGACAATAAGCTCTGGTACACTTTGTACTGGAGTTTACTGTTCCCAGGCGCAGTGTCTTCACGTGCACCTAGGACTGCAGCACGTTGAGCTGGGGTGGTGCAGCCCCAGTTGGCATGGGGCCTGAGGGGTCAGATGCCCTACCATGGCTCGTGCTGTGAAGGGGCTGGCTGGCGCATGCAGGTACTATACTGAGGGGCTAGCCAGTAGGCAGCCCCCACACTGTAGCAGCTTTGTGCCCCAGCCAGCCGGGTCACCATCTACACGTGCATTGTGGAGGAGTGAATAATTCTGCCATAGAATAGTACTTGTATTGCACAGTACTATTCTACAGAAGAGTTAATTCGTTTACTCCAGCCTCTTAACACCACTCATGTAGATGGTGACACTTCACTGAGGAGCTAATGAGGTAACTCCGTAGTAAGCATTTCATGTAAATACACCCAGTGTGTTTGTATTTGAGGAATTGTGTCAGGTCTATCTTTTCTCATCAGGAGAAATTTAAAGGGCTAAATATGTAAAGCTGATTTAACTTGCACACACAAGCACACGTGTGTGCAAATAGGTAATATGTATGGGGTGCCAAACTTCAGGAAATATTCATGGTTTCAAAGCACTGATGTTGAGAGAAGAAGCTTTTTAAGCAGAATATTGGTGAAACCTTGCTAGTAGTAAGATATGTAGAACTGTGTAAGTTGTGGCATACAGCACATAATGGGTTAACTTACCGCTTGTGGGCTCCTACCAAAATGCCTCACCCTTCACCACTCCTTCTGTTGCTGGGTATCTGGGTTCCTTCTCCTTCCTCTGACTTCCACTTTCTACCCTTGCCCTTGGGGGGCAGGATAGCGCAGTGTGTGTATGGTATGGAGGGAGGGGGCATGTTTGCAACCTGGCATCAGTGAGCCAGATACTCAGTTTTTATACATGTCCATAATTCCACTGAAATTAGTGGCACTTCTGACAATTTATGCCTCCAGAAGATATTTTTTCCAATGAGTTTCATTTTTTGGTACTGGGTTTTCATTCTGGCCTATTCCTGGTATAAATGTAATGGGCCGATAAAGTATTATTTGTACCGAATAAGCTTATAGGGGGAGAAACTTATTATTTAGGTACCAAAGAGGTAGTCTGCCTTAAGTGGGAATGAGGCCACTGGTCCCAGGCACTCAGCATCACAGATCAAAGCAACTGCACTGTATTACTTTTGCACTCCTTTGTGCTGCTCCAGCTATTTGGTGGAGAAGGACTTGGAGTGTGAGCTCCTTTGGGCCCTTGTGGTGCTCTCACAGTGATACTCCCAGACTGTGTCACTGTTCCAGTCAGTTGATAGGAATAGACTTTGGGGACTCTACACCCTTGTTTTGGTCCACTATTTTATATGACCAAGGTAAACTAGGACCCAGGGTCAATGTGCTTTATCTTTTTATTAATCAAGCAACTACCTTGATATTGCTCACTGAGGTTCTCAGTTAAAGTAATGAAAATGGGAGCTGAAGAAAAAAGAATCTTGGGAGAATATAAGTAAGTGTTAAAGGGATTCAAGGTTGTTTAAAGAAATTCCAGCAAGAGAAGACAACGACATAAAATTAAAATGAAGTTGGGGGCTGGACTCGATGATCTTCCGAGGTCCCTTCCAGCCCTAATGTCTATGAAATCTATGAAAGTCATCTGACAAGAGAGAAAACATATCGATGGCCAAACTGACTAGTGTCAGTGGTCCACTGCTAAAATGCTCCAAAATGAAATGCCTGGTACTGTGAGAAAGTGATTATTTATAACATTCATGGTGCTGGACCTTGTTTTTTTGCTTATGGGTCAGAGAGCCACATAGACACAAAACTGCCATTTTGTACCTCCTCTCCTGGAGCACCAGAGCTGCCATCCTCACCGCTCCTCCCAATGTCATCCTGAAATGCAAAAACAGCTATTACTTCTGGCCTTAGATGCAACTGAATCCCCACAGTGATCCTTATTTAGAACAGGGAGACAGACAGACAGACAGACAAACCCCAGTTGCTTACTGCTTCTCCTTTTATTCCAGATTCACCTTCAGGTCCAGGCAAACCAGGTTCACCCTGTGGCAGAGAAGGATTCATAAACAGGTGAGCTGCTTAGTTTAAAAAAGGATTGCCTTGCTTTTGACCCACAACACTCATTCTGAGAATTAATAGGACATGCCTGTTCTCTCTCCTATGCCAAGACATTTTCTGCATAAGAATACAAATAGTTAATAATGAAGTAATAATTAACAATTAAGAACTTCAATCAAGGATCAGGGACCTGCCAGGCTGGTAGGTCCCTGTACAAACAAGTAACAAAATGACAGTCTTTGCCCAAGGTAGCTTTATGATATAGATATTGGAAATAGATATTGAGTAAAGTAGACAAGATAGATAAAAAGAAAATGAGTCTGGGAGGACAAGGTAACAATAAATCAAGTATAATTTATTTTTAAAATGGAAACACCAACCATTATCTCCATGTTACCTTTTTCCCTGGGGGACCCAATTCACCTCTCTCTCCAGGTATACCGATGAAACCCTGAAGGTGAGGCAATATTATTCACTTGACTTTAGAAGGAGAAAGATCAGCATCATTGCAAAGCATCATCTTTTGTGGTCCAGAATTTGGGGGCTAGGGACAGACATTCAAAAAGCCTGTGCCTGAATTGATCCAATCTTTGCATGTTAGTCTAACCTGGCTAGGCTGAACTGGTTTGCAAGTGCACAGACATTCTCCTCTTGACTGAGAAAATGCAGGCACATGCCTGCAGTGACTCGAACTAGAAGCTGAGGGGGTAAAGGGGGTGCTAGAGCAGCCCTCCCTTCCCTTCCACAGCTGAGAGGGGTGTGGCCAAGCCCTGGCAGGATGCTCTGATTAGGGAGGGGTCCCCCCCCCCACTGCTTCTAACCAGGAAAGGAGCCAGGAGGGAGTTACACAGCATTTAGTTACACAGCAGGGAATTACACAGGGAGTAACAGGGCATTTAGCACCTCATCAAAACAAAACAAAACAAAACAAAACAAAAGCCTCTCTCATTAGTTCAAGCTCTTCTTAAACAGCTGTTTCCAAGGAAGGAATGGAGGGACATTACGAGCTACCTGTTGATTAGCTCCAAAAACCCCTAAGCAGACACTGTCCTGTCTGTCTTACACACTGGGCCCAATGATCTCACAGGGTCTCTTCCAGTCCTAAACTTCTGTGAATCCGTGAATCTCTCAGCATTAGCTAGCATACCACATGTTGGCTACTGTCCATGCTGTGGGAAAGGGGAGGGGGGAATCCCTGCTTGAGCGGGGAGGGTGGGGGTAGGAGGAATCCAGGCAGACTCCACTGTGCCTGCAGTCTCTGTCAGAGCTCCAGTCAGGGAGCAGAGGGTTGCGGCCAGCCCTGTGGTGGAGCAGAGAGCCCCGGCCAGGGCTGCAAAGTATCTGAGATGCTGGGAGAATCTGGTTTAAGTTTAATCAGGAAGGGCTCTGGGACAGACATTGCATAAACCAGTTCAACCCAAATCAATTAAGTCTGATACTACATTCAGCCAGGTTTATCTCAAACCAGTTTCAGCCATTTTCAAGCTGGTTTATGTACACTGAACATCTGTTCTGTTACAGGTTTAAACCAGTTTCTGATCACTTAAACCAGTTTATGTGTAATGTCTGTCCCTAGTCGAGATCACTTAATTTTTCAGAACCATGTAAAAAAGAAGTCATAAAAATCTTGGAAACTGATATGCATATTAAGGCATATCTGGCCCATGATAATAGAAGATGAATGACAGAGATCAAAAGGAAACAGTGATCAATATTATTCCAGACCTCTTATGCTCATATGTTTCTAATCAAACTCTTGCATGCTCCCTGCAGTGCCTCACATTGCTCTTAGGAAAGTGCATAGGATCAGTTGATTTTTTTTTTCCATTTCCTTACCAGGGCTCCAGAATATCCAGAAGGTCCTTCAGAACCTGTTTCTCCTGGATCACCCTATGGCACACAAAGTGGAGATATTTAGGCTACATGCAGACAGTCAAAAAGCCTGAGGCTGAATTGATTCAGTTTTGGCAGGTTAGTCTAAGCTACAAAAATTGAACCAATAAGCAAATGAACAGATATTCACTTTTGATTCAGGAAATGCAGCCACATGCCTGCAGTGGCTCAAGCCAGAAGCCAGAGGGCACTAGAGCCAGCATGAGTCAGTATGGGCTGTGTGTTCACTTCCTCTTCCTGCTGCCCCCAAGGTCTCTGGGATTTGCAGTCCAGACTTGCAGCAGAAGGACTCTGCAGGGTTGCTCATCACTTCCTCTTCCTGGTCCCCACAGGTGCCTCTAGGATTTGTAGTCCATAGAGGCAGCCAGCACTAAGCAAGCCAGCAGGTACCTCCTTACTTGGGCGAAGGGAAATTTAACACCCCACCCCCCAGCAGGGGTTTGCCTGGAGGGGAGGCAGGGCCAGTGAGCCAGTCAGTGAGGCCAGTGAGCCAGCTCTCACTGTTCCAGCTAGGGAGAAGAGGGGTGAGGCCAGCCCTGCTCTCTGGAAGCCCAGCCCAAGGCTACAAAATACTGGGATACCCTGATTTAACTTGAACCAGCAAGGGGTCAGGGACAGAAATTTCATAAACTGGTTTGACCTAAATCAGTTAAGTCTGATACTACATTCAACCAGGTTTATCTTAAACCAGTTTGGGCCATTTTGAAACTGGTTTATGTGCACTGAACTTCTATTTCTGCTCACTTAAACTGGTTTATGTGTAACTTCTGCCTCTAGCCTTAATGACAAGTTTATAGCAGTGGCAGCACTGAGAAAAGCATGCAATGTCATTTTCAAGCTGACATGACTTTCATCATTAGCTAACTGCAATAAAATAAGGGATGAAACTAATCCTGCAAATGTAGTGGAAAAATACCTGCTTTCCTGAGATGTACTAGCAACTTTGGCAGAAGGGAGCCTGCTCTGCAATAATTTATAAATGTTGTGTGCAGGCTTCAGGGTTGGAATCATAGGGAAGTAGAGTTGGAGGGACCTCACAAGGTCATCTAGCCTAGCCCCTGAGGTGTTTAGTGCATGAGCAAGGTGTATAAACAGTTGCTCAGGAAAAACTACTTCCCAGTAAAATATTTAGGATGGTTCACTATTAGCTGTGAAGATGCTATCTCTAAGCTCTAGCCAAGTTATAACATTTGTTTACCTAGTGCTGTGACTGTGCAAATCAAAAGGACTATAACCAGAAAATAGAGTTGGAGCATTCCTATACATGTGATAGTCCAGGATATATGAAAGAAGCAATAGTTTTTTGGTAATATCTTCTATTGGACTGACTGTATAGCTGGGAGAGATACAGGATATGCTGTTGGGCATAGTGTCTAACATCTCCTCCAGCTATATAGTCTGTCCATAGGTGATATCACCAAGAAGCCCCTTGCTTCTTGCATATAGCCAGATAAAAACACACTTGCTGGCTTGAGGTGGTGCAGCTGTAGCTGAGAAGCTGTTTAGATGGACTCCTGTGGTATGCACTCAGTGAAAGGTCAGCAGTGCAACTAGCTCTGTAACCATGACACACTCTCTTCCTATTTAACAACTTGGTGAGGACACCAGTGTATAACAGCTCCAAGCAGGGCCCAACAGAAGGCCTATTCACTATGGCAATGCAACTCACACCCTATTTTGAGAGCTCTAGGTGAGGAAAAAGTCATGCCCTGGCCTGTAAATTTCAACTGCTCTGAATAACATAGCACATGACTGTTATACAAACTAGAGGTGCAAGGAAAAAGTGATTAGGCTGAAGAGGGAGGAGAATCTCTAGGGATTTCTCCTCCTATTTTTGCTCTACTTTGGTTCTACTTTGCTCTAAATTTGGCCCTTAAACTCTACAAGATGGTATTAACTAATAGGCTCTCTACTGATATACTAATAGTGTGGGCAGGAACCCTGTTGATATTTGCATTTGTTTCTGTAGTGAATGTATTATCAGTGACTAGCAAATAATTAATAGAAAATAAATTTTATTTAATTAAATTAAATTAAAATCCCCTTTAAAATAATAGAGAGAGTTCTCACTTGTGGTCTAGGATTATCTCTTCTCTATGGAAATATTTCATTTGCTGATTTTGCTTTTAAAGCCACGTAGAACACATTTATACATGACAGCTTATCTGATATACCTCAGATCAGACCTACTGGTGTTTATCTCACTCACTCACTCACCCGCACACACCTGCACATACTCCCTTCCATGCTGAGGCTAAGGAAAGATGCTCCATGAGCATGTGTAGAACACAGGATTCAATAGAAGCTCAGTTATTTTCAGTAATGACTAGGAAACAATTTGCCAAATTGCTAAATTTAGTGAATGACCAAGTAAACAAATACAACTTGAAAATGGTCATTGCCTCCCAATACTTTACATTTTTCATATCTTTATTTTATAATTCATTCGTTTATTTTTCATGGACTATTTGACAAGTGTAGTGCAAGGTGTCCACTCTTATTAGTATATTAGGGGTGTCAAACCCTGCAGTTTTGGCTTCCTTATCTGCAGAATCCCCATATGCTATTGTCATCACTGCTGTTGCTATCCTCATTAATGGCCCCAGCACCATGAGCTGTTCAACAGCTCCTTCAAGTTTAGGGGGTCTCAGTACCTGTTAGGTTCAGGTCCATAGTTTGATTTTAACTTCTGTTGGAATCAAAAGTTGCAGAAGATTTAGAAAGCTCTTAACATAGAGCTGATGAGGCCTCAGTGAAAGTCCATAGAAAGCGCATGATTGGCTTTCAGGGAAGATAGGCTGGACCCAAAGTTTATAGCCTTACGAACATCTTGCTTTGCTACCTTAATCAGTGACCTCTTGTGTTTTCCCTCAATGTACAATTATCAATTACCTGTCTTCCTTGCAATCCTGGGAAGCCTGAGGCACCTTGATCACCTTTTTCACCCTGGAAAATGAGCATGCAATGTTTTATTACCCAAGGGGACTGCTGCAATAAATGACAAAAGAGGCCACAATTTAAAAACATGTGAGGGCGGTACAGTCTCCAGGTCCTGGTTGGACTTTCTTTGCATTATTCTACATTGAATATTAATCATGTACCCTACTATCTGACTACTCTTTGTTTTCTCAGATGCAAACATATGACACTTATCAGGGGAACCAACTATTTGATAGAATGAGAACCGTTTTAAAATAGTAAGTATGAAAAGCAAAGATGAAAACTGTTGTATGTGATTATTGCAGAGGTTAAATGGCTCCGATCTTCACAGCACCTAGGAGCCGTCCCTTTTCATATTTTAGGTTAAAAGCACAAATATTTTCCAGATATAAGACTCAATCCTGAGAGTCCTTAGCATTAGTGAGAATGCTTTGGATTTCTCTTGACCATGTCAAAGAAAGAGACTCTCATGATCAGGACTACAACTTTAAAGACTAAAAAGCAGAAAGCATGGGTTTAATGGTAATCAGGCTTTCCTACAAGGGTTGGATTTCATGCTTCAATGCTTCTAATAGATCAGTGAGAATAACATTTTACAACATTTGTGACAGAGGTTTATACTGAGGAGAGGGAAATAAGAATCCTAAAGAAAATTCAGAGATTTTGGTGCCTACTATATGAATAGGCTCTAGGCTAACAATATTTTACTTTCCAGAGCCCAGCCAAACTGTTATCAGTCAATTCCAAAATGTAAATAAGGAGCTGATTGCTTTATTATTATACTCAAGAGTAAAAGTACCTCAGATACTGTGCTCAGAAAAAGCCTATTCACTATTACGTTTCTCTTATTTATATGTACAGGAGCAGCTTAAGTCTATAAAAGTCACACATGATGGGGCAGCAGCAGAAATCCATATCTACAATTTAAACATAGGCTCAAATTAAACTAACTGGGCCTCTGTCATCTGATGCAAGCACAAGCAAGGTGATAATAGAGTGTAAGTGATGTGACTTGCCCCCACAAATAGGGTAGCTGTGCTGCTTGGACTAAGTACAGACATTCAGAAAGCCCAAGACTGAATAGATTCAATATTTGTAAGTTAGTCTAACCTCCATGGACTGAACCAGCAAGCAAGTGAGTACACATTCATTTTTGATTCAGGAAATGCATCCACATGCCTGCAGTGCCTCAGGCCAGGAGCCAGGGAATGCTAGAGTGAGACCTCCCTTCCCTTCAACAGTGGCCAGGCTGGAGGGAAGCTGAGCTGGGGGGGACATGGCCAGGCCCTGGCAGGCTGAGTATGATTGGAGAAGCATTTAAACCCCCACCCTGGCCTGCAGGGACCCCAACTGGGGTCTGCCTGGAATGTGTCGGGGGAAGTAGTCCTTGCCATGCTTCTGGTGGGGGGGAAGAAGCATAGCCAGACCCCGGCCCCTAGCTAATCACTGGCCCAGCATGGCCCCCTAAAATGAAGGGGGCAGGGAGGGGGTTTATTCCCCCCTCCCTCCCTTTTCCTCCTGGGGGATCCCAGCTGGAATCTGCCTGGCCAGGGTGCAGCAGCCCCTTTCAGGGTCCCTGTTCCCTCTCTGCTCCAGGGGCAGGAGCATGGCCCCCTGAGGCAAAGGGGGCAGGAAGGGGGTTTATTCCCGCCTCCATCCTATCTCCCACCAGGGACCACAGCTGGGTTCTGCCAGCCCTGACTGCCGCCTCCACAGCTTGCTGCAGCCTGCACGGGGCGAGTGGTGGCAGCACCAGAGAGAGGGGGCTTATGGGGCTATGTCCATCCAAAAATTTGGCTTAGTCGCCATAGCCACCCCTCTAAGCCACCATCACTTGACCTGCACAGACTGCGGCAGTTCTGCCCATCCCACTGCCACCCACAGCACAGTCCCACACCAGGAAGAGGCTTGTGCTCCCCAGGACATCGTGTTCGCGTCCCTCCCCTTCACTGCTCCACTGGCAGGGGTGGGGGCATGGCCAGACAGTGGCCACCATGGCCCCTTAAGGTGAAGGGGGCAAGGAGGGAGTTTATTTCCCCCCTCCTTCCCCTCTCCCCTCATTTGGGGTCCCAGCTGGGGCCTGCTTGGCCAGAGGGAAGCAGCGGAGGTGGCAGCTGGAGTTGGCAGACCCCAGCTCTGGTCCCCCAGGGGGAGAGGGGAGGGAGGGGGAAATAAACCCCCTCCCTGCCCCCTTTGGCTCAGGGGGCCATGCTGCCTGGCATTTGCCCCTGCCCCTGCTCTGGCTAGACAGCAGAGGGGCAAGGCCAGCCCTGCTCTCTGCAACAGATGGCACAGCTCAGCCCATGGCTGAAAAGCATGCTGGGGATACTGGGGGACTCTGATTTAACTTTAACCAGGAAGGGGTCTAGGACAGAAGTTCCATAAACTCGTTTGACCTCAATCAGTTAAGTCTGATACTATATTCAGTCAGGTTTATTTTAAACCAGTTTTGGACATTTTGAAACTGGTTTGTGTGCAGTTACAGGTTTAACCCAGTTTCTGATTAATTGAACCAGTTTATGTGTAACTTCTGTCCCTAGCCTTCAAGATGTAGGAGGAAGATCTGGCTTCAGTGAAACGAGCGATTGCTGTTAATTTCATTGGGCTTCTACCCTTATTTTAAAAGAGAACCTATTTTTTCTTTAGAAAAACAACATTACACCTTTATTTTCATTTTTATGAATCGTTTGTGCTTTATGTTCTATTTAAAAGCAACTCTTTAGTAATTCACAATAGCTCATTCTTCTCACCTTTGTACCAGGAAAACCAGCATAGCCCAGCACTCCAGGCTGGCAACTGCAGGTTTCTGGAATCTCCCTGTGACCTGAGCTCCCACACTTGGGAGAAACAGATTAAAAAGAAATGCAAATTAACAGAAAGGTTTTCAGCACCTTTGAACTATATTTTCCTTGTGTGTTTAAAGCAGGGAAAAACAGACTTATTTCTAATTTTCCATCACTGTGCTTTGGGAAACTCACCCGGACATCTTCCTGTAAGGAAAGAACAGAAAAAAACAATGAAAAGAGGGGAGAATAATTGCATTAAAATTTTAGAAAAACAAAATGCATGCTTATTAGTTGCAGTCTAGCTCACCACTCCAGGTACTTCACAACACGTTTCGTCCTCTGCCCGGTTGTGGTCTGTGTAAAGCTGAAGTTGCTGCACATCCACCTGTTGTGTGAACAAATGGAAAAAGAATTCAGAAATCCCAGTAAGGCTCCACCTTCATCTTTCTCTTGATCTCAACGCTGCCAACGGAGGTACAGAAGTCCAGAGCACTTCCCAATAACAGAACCAGTTTCTGGCTTGAGAGAAAGAGCTTAAGTCTATGGGTTCTCTATTTATATTTGTATTCATTGGTAGGATGGTGCCACGCCATTTCTGTGTGAAGAGAGCATTGAGGGAGAACTGGATCAAGGCAGAGAGCTTTGCATTCTGTTCAGGGAGCAGCAGTGTCTGCAATTATTCTTATATCTTGTAGCAATGAGCACCATTGCATTGGTCCTATGAAAGGTCTATCTTGTGCTCTCCCAGTGGGTCAACAGTCTCAGTTCTCCAATAGTAAATTTGTGTTATGGGGTATCAGGGGCATAAAGAGAAATCAAGCTCTAAGCCAGTTGTGCCAAATCAAATACTTTGATTATCAGGGCAGACACTTTGAACTGAACTTTCTCTTTTCAGTGGAGAACCAATGTAGACAGCAGATCATTTATTGCAGCTTCTCTTGTTAAGAAAAGAAGGGCTGCAGCATTGTGTACAAGAAGGCCTGTTTTCATTATTAAACAATTTAGGGGTAAGATCCTCTGCAATGGAAACTGACCCTATGCCCTAATTTTATTCGTGTTCTTCAGGCTGAATTTGTTTTAAGTGAATTCAAGACAGGCCAGGCATGCCAGGAAACAGGTTGGTTGTGATTAAAAAGCCATGTCATGCTAATGTAAGTTAATGTAAGTCCCTATTCGGAGTTATGAATATAGTTCTTTTGGAATGTTTCTGGACATTCAAGATTAAGTGTATATGTGCTAGAGGAGCTCTTTGGGTGAGAATCAGCAATTTTTAGTTACATTTCTATACTATATAACTTCATTATGGAATAAGGAAAAAGCACTTCTATACTCTGAGGTATTAGGAATGTATGCATATAGTAAGAAGCATAGTCTGGTACTTACCAGTGTAGTGATGTCATCCTTTATTCTCTTGGCCAAGACAATGTTTCCATCTGTCCTGATTGCTCCATAATGACTGACAGGGGCAGTGCCCACTGGCTGGCAGTCTATATATAAAGTAAGCTGGTTTCTCCTGGCACTAAGGGCAAGCTTGTGCCATGTCCCATCAAAAAGCTTCTCCACATTCTCAAAGGTGGTGAGCTCACTACCTGATGCTTCTCCTGCTGCACTGTATATGTCAACTGCAGAGCTTTCTCCATAGAGACGCAGCCTAAACTGATCAGCTCTGGCACTGTCCATCACTCTCCAGAGATCCCACACTACCTGAGAGGTATCCTCCCTCATTCTGAAGGTAGAAACTACAGAGAATTCCTGGGAGAGCCCCTGTGGGGGAAGTAATCTAGAAGAAAAAGGTATGAAAGAGCTTAGGAAACTTTGTCATGTTGGTATTTGTTCAACTCTAAATTCCATTGCAAGTACTATGTTGAAATTCACTGTGATACTAACTAAAGATATTAACAAGAGAAAGGGGCTGGTGCAATCCCAGCTCGAAGGCAAAAGACCTTGCTGATGTCATCTGACGTACCTGGTTTCTCCTGTAATGTGCACATGTGGTCCAAGCTGATATGCTGTCCGGTCACTTTGTGATCCTGGAACAGTATTGACTCCAGAAGCACTGGGGACTCCTAATTCTCGCAACAGATCAATGACTAAAACAGAACAGCAGTCAGCATGACTACATATGAAAAAAGGTGTTAAAAGTAATTGAAAATAAGTCACTTGCTTGAAAAGCTTTGGATGAAAACTTCATGGTTTACCACTCCCACTATACAAGCCTGCCACCAGCCTCCTTTCCTATTGACTTTCAGCATACCTTATCAGCCTCCTCACAGTTTGTCTTCCACAGAGGGAAGGACTGGGTCCCCATGCAGCTCATGCAGGCAGGCAGGCTCCAGGGGGAAAAAAAAAGATCAGGCTCAGCGCTCCCCCGCGCTTGGTGGAGCCTGCCTTCCTGGGCTGCTGTCAGGCTGTGCTGCATGGGCTTCCTGCACAACCCCTGAGCTGCACGGAGCCTGGTGCTTCACTCCTTGGCTATAGGGGCAGCAAACTAAAACTCCTCAGAGATGTTTTAGTTTGTTGAGCCCCAAAGTCATTTAAGGCATATTACTCTGCTGAATATGCTACAGTGGCTAGAATTAATGTGCAATACACCGCAGATGCATGCGAACACCAATGCCATTAAAACAGCGCAAAAGCATTTAACCTGCTTTAAAGTGTTGTGCACACATGCCCCTCATTTTGTTTACATGTGCCCTTTGACCTTGGCCACAACTGAAATAGTCTACTGTGCTTTGGCATCCCAAAACGTAAAGCCTCAGCTTGATCAGCACACCCACTCATCCTGGCATACCATCTCACAGCTGACCATGCAGACTGGGCAAGGCTGACCTGCAGCCTCCATCAGGGCCTAACCGTCTGCCCACTCCATGACACCGAAGTGGCTGATTGGATCAGCTGACCCTCTACTTCCCCTATACAAGTTCATGAGCAGGAACAGGAAGGATCCATGCAACAGAGTTTAACCTGATCCCAGGCTGCTCTCCACTCTCCACTCAATCTCTTGCCTTTTTGACCCAGCTTGCTTGCCAATTCCACTTTCCACTTGATCTCCTAGCTTCTTGGCCTGGCTTGCTCTCTGACCGCTCTCTTTCCGATATCCCATCTTCCTGACTCAGCTTGTTCCTAGACCCCGCTCTTGGACTGACCTCTGGCTTCTTCACCCAGCTTGCCCCTGAATTCTGCTCACTCCTCCTGACCCTGTTTGGCACCTTGATCCCTCAGTAGTCTCAGACCTGATCACAATGAGATGGTGTGACAGATCTGGCTTGTGGGTCATATGTTTGATACCTCTGGTCTAACCTGTTAGATTAGCTGTTGGCTACTCCTTCTCCTTGGCTACTCTCTCCTATACAAGTGTGTGGAGCCTGCTCTCACACTCTAGAAATCCAGTGCTTTGAAGCAGACTCAATTAATCAAGTCTGCTGGAGCACAGACATTGACATGCTCCGGTAGTCTTCCGCATCATGTGTATCAGCATCCCCATGCATCTCCGTGCTGAAAAAATGGCAGTGGGGCACTTCAAAATAAAACATGTTCAATAAGCTTTAGTTCAATTTTTCAGCATGGGGACGTGCAGGGATGCTGATACACGTGATGCATGGATGCTTTTAATCAGCGCAACTCACTAATTAAAGCACCCAGTGCTGCATCCGACAATATGTGTAAAAATGCTCTTCTGTGTTAACTTCCCATCCCCTGCCACCTCCCAGACAATGGCCATATGCATTTTGAAAGAAAAAGTCATGGGATGCAGAAGAAGTGAAACTCTTGAGATATATGGGAATAAAAGATAGGCACATAATGATAATACAGGATTTAACATAAGCCTTTTTGAGGAGAAAGGCAAGCAAGACAGCTCGGGTTCAAGGGAAGGAATGGACCCCAGCAGGGGAGGCTGGAAAACAATCTGGCAGGATTTCTAGGTTCTGGAAACACAGACAAAACTCTCTAGGAACTGCTTCAGCTTAGAAAGTAGTAGCGAGGTATTTCTGCTTTTGTTTCTTGATATCTTTCTCCAAATGTAACAGCTGCTTTTTCCTATTTGTTTTTTTTCGATCCTATGTAATAACTCCTATTTTTGTTTTATATCTTGGACTGTAAAGAGACATCTCATTTGATGCAGGCCTAATTGTACCAGGGGTTGACCCGGATCAAAGTATACATGGCACAGGCATTTACACGTTACCCTTCCAATCTCCTTTTGCTGCTTCTTCAACAATAGGCAGCCAGCAACAGCACACGGCCTAGCCAGCTTGTCCCAGAGATGGCCTGCACTAATCTTACAAAGACAGCCACATCCTGGGAAAACGTGTTAGTACATTTTATCCTCTATTCTTCAGAGAGACTTGAAGTGGAAAAGTAGACTTGTGTGTCTGTAGGACCCCAGGACAAAAGGCTGTCTCTTGGGACAAATAAGACATCTATTTACATTCTTATTGATTGTCTTGTGATGAGTGATTTCACGGCAGCTGACTCTCACAAGAATGGCAGACCTCATTCTTTTTCCAGACTTGGGGGACTCCACAGAGTCATCCTCCACCAGGCTGTATGATCTGGTTAGGGTGTTGGTTAAACTGGGATTTTGTCAAGGAGAAGAGTTTCCTTAGAGCAAAATCCAGTCAAAACCCCATGGACATGAAGTAGGACATCTGGGGAGAGAGCTTGGAGCTCTGGGATCATCACCCTGAGGCTTGTCACTGTATTACACATACCTTCTGTTTCCCCTGAGACATTAGGAACTGAGAAGGGATCTTTCTTTCTACTGAATGGTGTCCTTGCGGTTAGGGTAATAACTTCCTTCACATTGTCATAGGGCTCTGTTGGAGTAGGATAAGTATATTCCTCTCTGTTCAAATAATATCCAGAAGATATTGACTCATAATAAGCAGCCGTGGTCTCCTCTAGGTAATAGCTGCTAGGGTAGTCTGTTATGTAAGGGAAGCTTGTGGTGGTCATCCTCATGTCATCTCCTGATTCGTAGCCATCGATAAGTGTACTGTCTGCTTCATGCACATACAGATATGATTCTGTCCCCCTGTCAGTACCTTCATCACCTAAAGCAGTAATGAGATACCAATAAAAACAAAATATGAAAATCTCATAGAGATAAATAAAGCCTTCACACTTATTTCTTTTCTTTGCTTAGCAGTCCAATGTTTTGGGGTATATTCAAAACTATGGTGATTAAAGAGGAAGGACTAAGCCACCCATATGATTGAGTGGATATTTTTGCTAGAGAAAAGCAAAATTATCTGAATAAACAGAGGGAGATTGATAAGAAAAAGAAGAATATTATCATGTACCTGACTGGTATCCTGAATGCTCTTGCTCACTGACATGAAAGGATGACATAATAAGAAATATACAGGCCGGTATGCAAATCCCACCTTTGTTCCCTTGCACAGATGAGATCTGAAAATACAGGTAGGAAAAAAACCCAGAATACATATGAGTAAGACTGGAAACCATCCCTGTCTTCATCCCTATGAAGGTATTTGTCTATTTAATTTGTCATGATAGTTATAAAAAGCATGACAGCAATTATGTTCATAATGAAAATTCTACTAGAAATGTAGTCTACTCCTCAGTAAAGTGCACCTATAGATGCACCCACTTAATACCATTAGTTATAAAGCACTTATAATAATGTGAAAATGACCCACCTTCCCAAAATTTCTTACTGATACATTTCAGTCTAAAATCTTAATTTCAACCTAATACAAAACTGGTCCACAATGAGACCCAGATCTTTCTTCTACTTGGCTCAAGTTACTACAGCTTTCCATATGAGTTGTTCGTGTTATTTTTTCTGGTGTGTGTGTGTTTCCATACATTTAGAAAAGCATCTGCCTGAAATTCTTCAGTTTTCTCTAATCTTCCCCAGTCTAAATCATTTTGCATCATCTACACATTTTGTCCTTATTAGCTTCCTTTTCCACAACCCTTATACAGTCACAGGACTTTAAAAGCTTCTCTACTAAAGTTATCTTTCATGAAAATTGACTTTCTCTTTCTTTTCCATCTCTTGGCATTTTTTTCATTCGTGGCAGTTATGAACTATGAGTGACTAGTTTTCTTCACAGCTTCCAGTGAGGGAAGACTGGTGGTTTTATACTTATGGCACTGGATTGGGGCTTTGGGGGTCTGATTTAATTCCTAACTCTGTCCAAAACTTTCTGTCTGATTTGAAGTTAAATTCATTTTAATCTCACTGTTTCTCAATTCCCTGTCTACAAATTGGAGATTTTGATATTCTCCTCCTGAAAAGAGCATGGGGCATGAAGACAGAGCATTTAAGAGAAGGGTGGGAAAATATTTGGGCTGGAGGGCCACTTAAGGAGGTTGGTGAGCTGTTGTGGGCTCTGATGGTCCAAATAGGTTTGGTTGAGCCTTGGCCTCATAGACTGAGGTCCCACAGTGATAGTCATACCTGCTTTCTATAGGCATCCCTACTTTATATTTAGCAGCTCAGCTTCCTGCAGTCCCTTCACAGCATCTGGTGAAGTAAGCCCTCTACTTGCAAAATCTTATGCTATACATTTCTCATTTAGTTAGCTGATAAAGGTGCAAATCTACCTTGCTTTCTGCCAGTCATTGTACAGACATTGAAAGATTGTATCCACCTTAAAGTGACTACAGTCTTAGTATTATCCATCACATTGCTGGGACAATCAAAGAACGCTAGCAAGACATCATCTTCAGCTAGGAGTTAAATAAAGCTAATGTTAGTTATTGTTTCAAGCAGTTAAGCTGGTAAGGGAATGGCAATGCCTGCTACCTGGTAGAAGTACTGCGTATTTTTCTTAGCAATTCATTCTTAAGTTCCTTGGGCATCATGGCTACACACTCTCTGGTCTTGATTGAAATCCAGACTGAGTTCAGATCAATGGCAAAACTCCTGTTGACTTTTGCCCAGAATTTTAACCCTGGGAATTTATGGCTCTTAAGTTCACCACTTTGTTCCAGGGCCCTCTTTTTTGATACCTCAGTCTTTGACAGACCCTCATCTCTAGTACCTGAAAAGAATACATGTGGGTGGTGATGGTATTTCTCCAGGTCCCTCCAAAATCAGATGTGTACTTGATATGTATCCTCTAACAGATCTTCACTGCAGTATTTACTAGAGGAACTGAAAGAGCCAGTGGAGAGGCCCATAGACAGCAGGGTCACCCTTTTCCTCATTTGGTCAGCCCCTATGAGAAGTTTTATTCCCAAAAGTAACAAAGAAATCATTAACCTTTCCTGAAATTATTATCCTTTTCTACTTTTCTCTCTGCTCTTTGATGGTCCAGTGGATCTAGCAATTCTCACGGGCTTCGTGCCTTTAACATATTTAAATCACTTCTTGTTATTTCTCCCCTTGTCATTGGTTATGCCCTTGGAAGCCCTTGAACTCTTTGTGGTATTCAAAAGGCTTGATGAAAAATATAAAGCCTTGCTTCATTTTTTTCCATGATGAAACAGTAACATAAAACTCCAGATTATATCAAATTCTAGCAGATAGTGTCCTACAAGAAATTGATTTTACTTTAAAAATGTTTCTTTGAAAAAGTCGTATATAATTTCACTTAATATCAAACAAAAACAGGGAAAATAAATCTTTACATATTAGATTTCTTTACATATTACACACATGCATTTTCCAGAATAACTGAAAATATACTTTAAAATGCTCCAGCCCATTTTGCTCAGGACACATTCATCACCAAATTTCAAACTACATATTTTTGGTAAGATATGGGAACTGTTTCTCATAAAATCAAGCATAAAAACTGTAATTTAAGTTGCCATTTATATTATTTTACTTTATTTTGCTAGATAGTTAGGGGCATTCATAACAATACTCTTCCATGAGCATTTTAAAAAAGACTGTACAATTTTCACAAATGATGACGAAACAAGCAGGCAAAATATTTACAACTCCTTGGTCTAACTCAAAATAAAGACAGGCATATATCACTTTGAAACAATAGGTATGTTGAAACAAAGGCACAATATTTCTAATTTGGTTGGTATATAATTTTAAGAACTGTAAAATGTTACCACAACATGTTTTGGTGAATTTAATTTTATTCAGCTAGTAGCAAACTTTCCTAATTTATTACGTCATTCATGAAGTTATTATAGTGTATTTCATTGTGTACCAGGCCCTCTGCTCATGTACCAGCATTTTACACTGATGTGAAACTGCAAATGATTAAATGCGTTGTTATGAGCAGAGCTCAGAAGGAACAACCTGGTAGCAATCACTGACTGAGATTTTTTGCTAAATTTCTGGCTTACCCACAGACTGCATAATTAAACAGAAGCAAAATAAAATCAGGATTCTCTCTCTTATAGGAGTCCGTATCATGGATCAACTCCACACACATTCACAATCCTGAAATAATTTTGTGGCAAGCACAACAATTACTTAGCAATTACTTATAGCTGGATCCAAAGCGAGCCAGAACCATCAGTTCTGATGCTGCAAAGTCTTAATTCCTATTGACTTCAACTAGGACAATTGTTAATTGAAGTTACTCAAGTGTTGTAACTGCTAGGTGTTTTACTGTGTCTATGTCTGAGAGTATACAGGTCCAAACTCAATGATAGACTCCACTTACCACTAAAGATGACAGAAATCTTTCCATTAATTTGAAAGAATGTGGATAGTGTCCTATAGAAAGACTTTTAACTTTTTAAATAATTGTTACCTCTAAAACATGAGAATGTACTATGTATTTGCACCTTTCTTCTACATTCCTTTAAAATATTACTGAAACTTTAAAACAAATTCTGAAGTTAGATGAACCAATAATTTTGTTCATGAAAAGTACAGAATTATTTATCTTCACAATAATTTTAACTGAATGCCTTACATCTACCTTACCACCATGTCAATCTGGATTTTGTAGGCATTGATTTAATAAATAGAAGAATGAACATGCGCTGTTAGCTACATAACACTCAGAAATGGTCAACTACAAGAATGTGAGACATCAAAAACATGCACATAAAATACATCTCAGAAGATACCTTTTGAAGATATCTACTGACATCTGATCATAAATTACTTAAAAAGCCAAATCACCTTTTTGGGGACATTTCAAGAACTGAATTTAACCAGTTTGATTTAACCAGATTAAAAATTAGAAATGGCAACTGAGGAGGGAAAAAGAGAGGTTTCACTGTACCTTTCTACTTGAGGCTGCCATACTTTTCCATCTGCTAATCCCTGAAAGCACTGTCTAGTTATGGTAACAAGCCCTCTTTTCCTTTAACATATCCTCTTAAGTGTCTGCATATTTTCTCTCCCTTCCTTGGCTATGCACTTCAAGGCAGGAATTTCACCAGCTTTTCTGTTTGCCTTCTGGTGCATGCTGAGTTAGACTGCTACTTACACAGCCATCCTCAAAGTGGTGAGAAATATTTGATTCTAAAATGCAAATATCTGTTTCCCTTCCACTTCTGCTTTCAGCCCTCACCTGGCCTCTGACCCACCATGATTTATGACTTAAATAATACATAATACTTTCTCCACCTTTTACAATTTTTTCCTTTTAAAAAAATAAGTATAAAGTAGTATGTTAAGGAAATGTTAAAGTCACCCAATTAGAATGTTAAAATGACAAGACAAGGCTTAGTCAAAAACTAAAACGATTTCAGCCCAATTGAAATAGCACATATTCAATATTTTCTTCTTTCATTCTTGTTCTTATTCTTCTAGTTATAACTAAATATAATTTATTTTAAACATTTTAATAATGTGTACCACATTTTTATTATTTCTTGGGTGCTCTCCTCTTCCTTTCACGAGAGGACAATTTGCCTTCTCATGCATCCCAGAAGAAACATTCAGTGGCCTTACATGCTTCTCCAACTATTGCTCAATCTCCCTTCTCCCTTTCATCTGTGTACTCAATGATAACATGATATTTAATTATTGCCTTGATTTCATCTCCTCCAGTTCTACCTTTGTCCTTTCCCAGTTGGATTCCTTCTTCCGCACTAAACTGAAATCACTTTCATGAAGATCGCTCGTTAAATCTCAGCACCTACACTTCATTCTCCTCCTCTGTTGACCTCTCTGCTACTGGAGATCATTCACTCCCTCTGTGGTTTTGCATCATTGTTTTTGTGATACTGTCCCTATTGGTTTTCTTATTACCTTTTGGAAAGTCCTTTCAACCTTTCTATTAGCAAGGCCTTCTTCTCTTCTTTTTTGCCTCTTTGCCCTCCTCCTCCCCTTGCCCCCATGCAGCACCCTGGGTAATCACATCCATTCCTACAGGGTACACACAGAAGTGCAGCTCCCAGCTGCAACTGAGAACACTTTGCAGGAAGCATTTTGAGTTACAACGATCCCATGGACCAAACAAAAGTTCAGTGTTGGTTCCAGGGACAAAGGAAATCTAGCTGCTGGCTGAGGCTGCAAAGTTTTCAGAATGGGAGTGAGGAAAGGGAGCAGAAGGAGCTCATTCTGGGGGTTCCACAGCCAGGGATGCAGGGTGGGGTTGGGTGAATTGGAGCTTCCCTGCGAAACCATCCCCCTTCCATTCTGAAAATACTGACAGGCTAGCAGGCAGGCAGAAAGAAGTTAGAGAAGATGCCCTGTTTTGAAACATCATCATCTGACCCCCTTCCCCATGCAATGAGGGGTCAGATTTTCACCTGATCAGCCATTTTTAAAGCTGTCTGCAGCCATGCACTTGTGTTTGGTCATGGATATAGACTTCTTTCTGCGGCCAGATAAGGCAAATCTTGTCACTTCTGTCTGAATCCACAGTTTCTACTCCTGTCTCTATAGTGGTGATTTTCCAATCTGCTGCTGCTTCTCAGCACTACTTCACTTCATCCACTTCTGCATCTCAGGTTAAAACTCAAATTCCTTATCTTCCATCCAAAACACTCTTCTGTCCAAAACTCTTTTGGCATAAATGGTTGTTTTCAGTCCCTGAAATAAAAGATAAATAAAATATTAACCTACCCTACAGCAATAAAACTTACTCTGCAAGGCCCAGGGTAGTAAGGTAAGAGAATTCCAGTAATCACGTTATTGATGGTGAAGCATTTCTCTGTAGAGAAAGGCAAACAGCTACATGCATGTTTAATTTAATAACAGGATGTTTTTAGTTTTCTGCAAGATCGGGAAAGTCGATCTCATGTAGATGGGCTTCCCAACAAGAGCGTGTTATAAGGAACTGTCTATGGTGCTGAAGCCATTGTTTAGGCTGCCATTGACATTGGCAATCTTAGAGAAGGTATATGTGGGTATGCTGCACTTGTCAGATGGGACAGTAGATAGTATTATGGAAATGAGAACAGCAGCAACAAGTACCAGCCATAGTAATGAATCCAGGTCAGCAACTAACTGATCTTGAATCATTTCCACTGGGCTGCATCTGGGGGCTATTCCCTTCTGTACAGGAAAGTGTAAACTAGAAAAAAAATGCATTATTATCAACAGATTTGCATGGAGTGAATTTTGCAGAGAGACAGTGTGCCTTTGTCAATACATGCCTTCATCTTGAAAATGTCTTTTAACTCTATGCTTCGGCTCTAAATTTAGGTGAAGCTGTTGCTACAATCTCCATAGAAGAAAATTAAAGGCATTGATGATTAATGCATAAACCGACTACATAGATATTAATTATTCCATGCTAAGACTCATTTTCTAATAAACTACTCTTCTGTTTTGCAGTTATACTGGAAGGAAAACTTTCCCCAGGAGTATTTGGGAAAGGAAACAGTTCAAACTTGTTCCATCTCTGTAGTGGCATTTTGCCATGTCCATCAGTGGAACAACCAATGTAAAAGCAGCCTCATAGCAAAAAATTAATGTCTTAACTTTGTTCTGTGTTCTTCATGGATGCATGTTGATCCATATTAGGAACTGGATTATCTACTTCATTCATAGGTGTTTATTCCCTACAGCTACCAGAGAGGAAACAAGTCTTATGACAGAGTGAAATTAAGATATTATCTGGAAAGGTTTCAGGGTGCATTCATATTATAAGGGAAGAAGCTATAGTGTCAAGAAAATCTAAACAAATAATTCTGTGAATTATTCTAGGATAGAATGTAACCCTTAGAAATAAAGGAGAATTCAATTACATGGAGAATTCATCCACCCAGGGAACTTTTCTAAACATACACTCTTCACAAAGCAGAACTCTATAGCTGTAGGGGAAAGGGTAAGCAAAATTATATCAGAGGGAGAGACAATTCCTTAATGATAACCCTGTTATGGAAAGGATACCTAATAGGTGATAAATTAATTCCTAGATACAAAGAGATGAGCAATAGGAAATTGTTAGGAGGGAGAATTGTGGACTACAGTAAGATGCCACAGGAAAAAGATGGGTGAGAGAAATAAAGTCAGTAAAAGTGATAAGCTATCTTTCTGGGACAGAAACAGAGATATGGGTATTGGGCATGAGAAATATAAACCACAATGAACACTTTCTTCATTCACCTTGTAGACATTATAGCTGAATTTGCTAGAGTATGTAATCTTGTCCCACTTCAGAAATGTGTTGAGCCCAATATGCAATAACTGTACTGATAATAAAAGAAAAAAGATCAAGTGTAAGCCATTGTTTAGACAAGATTTGTATTGTTTATTTCCCCTCTTCTTCTCACTCTAAGATATTTGATCTTAGAAATGGCTGAAGTCACTCAGACTGCTATCCCCTGCACCAGGAATAAAAAAAATTATAGCATAAAGAGGGAGAATAATACAGACCTGTCTAAATCTAAGTAACAGAATTTTTGTTTTTCTTCCTAAAGAATCTTTTCACTCTATAAGAAATGATGGTTTTACTCCCTGGAAGTAAGTCATGGCAAGTAAAAGTGGCAGATGAGGGATAAATGTACTTGCAAGATCTCCATAATGGAAATCCAGCTTGTATTATGTGACTGCTTGCAAGATAAGATGGACAATTGGATCTGTAACAACTTAATTCATATAAGGAAGGGCAGGGAGCTATTTTATGGTTTAATTCATTCAGAAGGGCATGGGCTTTTGAAGACTACACCCTACTTTTTAAGGTGCTATGAATGGACTTGCAGAGAGCAGGAGTTATTAAAAAATGAACAGAGACATTTAAATGCAAAGAATAGGAAAAGGGAGGAAAGAAGCGGGTTCTGCTGAGAGACAAAGGGAAATTAAAGAGATCAAAAGGGATAGAGTAGTTAACCCATTGAGGGACACAGTATTTATAAAAATTAGTCCAGGTAATTTGCTAATAATCAAGAGTCTCTGCTGAAATCGTACTTAAAGCAATCTGGTCTCTTTATGATGTCTTGTTCTGCAAGTTCAGATTCAAGTTAGTTGTTCAATTTTGTTGTTTAAGAACAGCTACTCTGAGGTCAGTGATGGACTGTCCAGGGAAGTTAACCTAATTTATGCAACCATTTCTTCTCTGCACCAATACCTCAGGCTATACCTGTCCTCAGGGTGAAGGTGTTTAAGCTACACCTATTTCATATCCTCCACGAAGAAGAGGAAATCTAGGTTATTAATCCTAGGTGTCCTCAAATGCTCTGAACGGGCACCCTTATTGTTCAAAATGTTTAAATGTTTCCTATGTAATGAGAACATAGGCGAAGTAGATAGTAAAGTATAGAGGACCCAGGAGTCTTGTACAGTAAACTGACATATAACTTCAAATTACCTGGTCTAGGGGAAGTTCTTCTCTGAAGGCTCTCTGAAAAGCAGCCTGTGATTGATGATCACTGTCAGGCTGAGTCTTCCTGAGAGGAGTTGGTACACATGTGTGTAGAGGGAAGGCTTGTCCTTAAGGTAGCCATTTTGGTCTGAGTCCTGTAAAGGAGAAGGAGACACAAGAGACTGAAGGATGAGAGTCCAAGAGGACAAAAGTACATAGATTTGAATTTGTATAATGTTATTTGTATCCCTATTCATGCATGTTGTGTGTTGATTTTGCATCTGTGTATACTTTTTAAAACTTTACACCAGGCAGATGACACCCTTTTATTGGGGTACCTGAATTTGCAGATAAATGGAGACCAGTGGATTGGGTGGATGACTGAATATGAGGACAGGGACAAAGACCTCTTAATGCTGGACAGTGGAGGTATGTACCTTCTCCAAAGAGTTACAAAACCCACTCCATGTTGTTATGGCTTCTCCAGATGACTGAACAGCATGTGCACCATCTCTACCGTGTAACAGTATGCTCCAGCCCTGGGCTAGATGTCCCTGTAAGAGCTCCTTCCAGACATTCTGGGCTAGGCACTGGGACTGGAAGCAGGAAAACTATCTCATGTTCTCAATGACCTCGTCAGCTAGTCCCCTAACACATGGGAGGACAAAGTTATATGATTTGAATGCAGGGACCAAAAAAAAAAGGTAAAAACACAACTGAACAAAAATCCCTGCACTGAAGGAAAGAAAGGAGTAGATTGAGATAGGAAATCTAGTAAGACTGGGACTGAAAAGAGATGAAGAGACACCATGCCTGGGTCACCATGCCTGAGAGGTGACTAGGGCTGATTGGGACAGGATAAGACTGGAAAATGTGACTGGCTGGGTAAGGAGTCTTAAGCTATGCATCAAGGGAACGTGGGCTGATGCTGGGGATCTTGGATGGCTCCTGTGACTTTGTAAAATGCCATGACAAAACAAAAGTTGCAGGTACTAATCACCCACATGAATGATGGACAACAAATGAAGTTGCATTTTTTTATTCTCCAGCAGTGAGTCCTGAGCACAACACAGCCTATGAAGTTACTATTTCCTATATTTTTCAGAATCCTGCTGACTGCAAACCTGCATAAAAGAACAAAACAGACACACAACTGCTATTGTACCGGTTCCATTGTTTTTCTGTTCTATCTGCTGACTACAAACCGGCCCAGAGAGACAAGAAGGAGTCTTAGCTTTTACTGAAATGGTTCCATATTGTTCTGTTCTTTATGGCTATATATATTTATGACCTCCTGTTTTTATATTTATGAATATATGACACATTCCTAATAGCTAATTAGCACAGACCAATGACCCTATATATAATTAAATGAAATGAATTAGCATAGACCAATGACCCTATATATAATGAAATGAAATGAACTGAAATAGGTTGTTTTTTCCTCACGCAATAAAATTGTGACCAGAAAATCAGCTATTTCAGGCAGTTGCCATGCTAGAAAAGGCTTTTGTGTTTTCCATGATATGCAGTGATTCTTTCCTTATCATGGAATAAGCTCCAGAGGTGTCACAGCTTAATGACTAAATGTGGATTGTTTTGTCACCCAAAGTTTTGGGAAATTGTGTAAGAAGGGGGATTCCCACTCTGGGGCAAAGAACAGTGTTTTTTTGTGGGTTTGAAAAAAGCAGGGAAAGACCCATGGGAGGTCATTTATAGCATGCAATTTACCACCTTGTGCTAGAATCTAGCTGAAATGTGTACCTAGCCCCATCATCCTACCTTTGCAGTATCCTATCTCTGAAGTGCCATCTAGTGGCTCTTAGCACATTGTCCATTGAGAAAATAATGATAGATCTAACTGAATTAGTTGCATGACTGAAGGACAGCAGCCTGTCTCAGTCCAGACAATGATTGAAAAGTCCACTCAACCTTTCAAATTCAGCAACATAGGACCTGAAATACAAAGCATGTGGCCTGCCCTGGCCACAAGATGTGAACAGAACAATACCT